GCCCATGAGGCCGTACACTTTGGAGATGGAGCGTTGAGATCGGTTTAAGTGCAGTCGTCAAAATGATGGATGGTAGCAGCGGGCAGCATTGGACCGTGAAGAATGTTGATGGCGTGGGGAAGCCTTCATCCAGCAGTGAATAAACAATAGCCGATGCGGTTGTTGAGATGTAATCATGCGGTGGCGTGATGTTAACGAACTCGCCTGGTATGGAGGAGGTCGTGGGTTCCATCTCGACTGACGCCTGCTGTATATTTGGAGTTTGCGTGTTCTCACCGTGGTCGCGTGTCCTCCGGTTTTTCCCCTCCACATTTAGAATCCATGTGCCTTTAGAGTATTGGTGGGCAGGTCTCTTCTAAAAAAAGAGCTATATAATCTTGATTTGAGGCTTTCGTGACTGCGGGAATTCACACTCTTTGGTTACTTCGATAAAGTCACGTGGCTCAAACCGAAAGAACTGAAGAGTAAGAGCTATATAGCTCAGCGGGGCTTACCTGGTAAAAGAAAAAAAGAGTTTAGTTTAAATAGTTTATAATACGATGGCAAATTCGCAACCTGTCAAACCACCGGTGCGGGCGATGACACCGCAGGGTGCACCCTGACTGGGCCTCGCCGAGACGATGGTGAGCACACGGTGAATGCACCGGATCGTCAGTTGCCGAGACAGGGCACGGATCCTGAACCGCAGCCAAAACGCAGCGGGCAAAGTGCGGCACAGTGGGTGCTCTTCCGTGTAAACGCCCCCGACACGCACGAGGGCTCTGCCAGTCGAGAGAGACGAAACTCAGAGTTTGGTCGAGAGGCAGGACGCACGACCGTTAGGCTCTGTTTATATCGGGGCTGACTCTCGGATTAACCCTTTTTTTTAAATCTCGAGTTTAAAAGAAGCCGAGAGACTTTCCAGGCCGGTCCCTCACACTGGCTCGATACGGGAAACCGTCCCCCGTGGATTGGCGCACGCAGAGGGGTTACGTCCACCGGTCAACGGCCACATTTTGCGGCGCGCTGGCAAAATTTAACCCGGCTCATAAAACCTGCTGGGAGAGGAATGACACTCGAGCCATTCACACGCTTCCAGCTCTCGGCTCCAAGAAGCTGTCACAGCCGCTAAACGCGTTGCCCGCGGCCACCGCCAACGTAGTCCCGTTGCCGGGCCACAGCGCCGCCTGCTCGCGTTCCAGCTGTGACGCTGCGGCAAGGGGGCCCTGCCGGTGTAAATCGATAAAAAAAATATATAATAGTAATTGTTCAGTCGCTTCGTGAGAGAGATGAATGGGTCTACACCGTTTCCGATTTTCTCAATTTGTATTATTTGTGTTTTTCTTTACGTGATTGCTTTTGTAATTCTGGTGATGCAGGTCACTCTTGCAAACGAGACTCACCCTGTTAGCTGGAGCTCACACGTGGTGAAACAAAATGAGCTTTAAACTTTCTTCAGCCTCCACTGAATCGCAAATGCCTTTTCGCGTTCGATAAAAAGCCTCACGTCAAGCTGTCTGGTGATAATTTGTCTCTTTTTGGGTTTGAGCGATGGCCTGAATATTTGGTCAGTGGTGGGAATCACTTCCTAACCCCATCGCAGTGCTGCCATCACATGGCCACCTCGCAGCCAAAGCCTCTTCCACACCTGGCATCCCATCCAAGTACTAACCAGGCTACACAACCTGCTTAGCTTACAATAGCTGACGAGACCAGGAACGCTGTTCAGGGTGAATTTTGGCACAGGCGAATGTGACACCGCGGTGACAGACCCATGTCACACCCGTGTCAGCGTAAAAAATACCCCAGGGGGCCCTAGCCCATCCTATCGATGCTACGCCCCGTCGATCAGCACCGCTGCCGCCGCACCAGAGTGCACACCTCACTGTCATACGGCCACCCAGAACTCGCACACCCACGGCTCAATAGCTGGGACGTGGAGAACATGGACATAACCAGCGGGGAACTTAGAAACCAACAAGCCTGGCGTTGAGCGAGCCGTCGCGCCGGACAACCAGGCTCGCACGGACCACAGGGACAGGGACAGCGACGCGGAGAGCTCGCGAGGGAATCGAACACCCGAGAGAGAGACGAGAGGAGAGACACGGACCAGATGGTGGAGGTTATCGGCAAGGATTTCAACACGAGCCACAGTGATTTCCTGCTCAAACGAGCATCGAGTCGGAGCTCGGATCCTGTTTGCGGTGGAAATTCCACATTCGTATGGCGGGGGGAGGGGAAAGTCTCAACATAGGAAAACGACTGCTGACGTATCCACAGTGGCACTCATTCAATCGAGCCCAGAGGGAGGGATGATGGGCTTGAGTCAATCCCCAACCAGGAATTGAACTTCGATTTAAAGCTTTCGTGACTGCAGGGATTCATATTCTTGGTTCTTTCGGTAAAGTCACGTAGAAGGGAAATAATAAAATAATAAAAATTCAACAATTAAATTCTCACGACGTTTCGATTGCAACACAAGCAATCATCATCAGGTGTGAAAACCACAGGGAGAAACGTGAGAATTTTATTGTTATTTTATTATTTCCCTTCTACGTGACTTTACCGAAAGAACCAAGAATAGGAATTGATCTCGCGACCTTCCGCTAGCAAGCCGCATGCTCTAGTGCCAAGCGATGCGGCCAGATTAAACACAATGATTTGAGCACAAGAGGCGAGGCCGTCTTCGGGATGCACGCTCGCTTGCTCGGTGTCCACACCTCTCAGAGAGTTTAATGTCAATTCGTGTAACGAAGGGAGATTGAGACAGCGTGTTTTGGTCGCCCGTATTTATACCCAGAGCCACGTGGCTGACGGGACAGACGGACAGAGACAGCGCGTCGTGAGCGTCGGCAGAGTTATTAGAGGTCACATACACATTGCGCGCACGCGCGTACATCCCTCGAATAGACGACACAGTGCACCATGCTTCGCACCCGGCTAACATCAGTGGTGAGTGACATCTGAAACAGCCCGGGGCCTCCTGTATGTCTGCTCCAGCCTTACAAACGAATACCTGGTACGGTATGTAGTAAACATCAAACACTGGTGGTGCGAGCCACGCCGTCCGTGGCAGCTCCGAGGGATGCTCGCTAACGCCACTGTTCCCGAGCAGTCTGCTAACGGCTACACCAGGCATCTTCGTCAGCCACAGGCACGCGGACACGAACCTCGGGCACGAGGTTTCAATCAATTCTCTAGGACTGGCGCGGCAGAATCCAGAATTTATCTCGCCGTGTTAAACCGCCATGGCGTTGATCATCAAACGGCGGCTCATCCACACGTGCATCCGTCGCACCAAAATCAACAGAGAGCAATCGGCGAAACGCTTCCCTGCGCCTGCAACGGTGCCAAACTTACACCGCGACATTTAAACAAGAACCGACGCAGAAGATCCCTGGGTTTGATCTTCCACGAAGCTGCTCATGGCCCACCCGCATCCACTACATCAACCATGGCAGCAGCAGATGCACAAATGGAAAATTAGAAACTGTCCAGTGTGCGACTGTGGTCATCCAGAGGAAACAACGTATACAACGACGCGATTGCCCGATCCACAAATGCGAAGGAGACATCAGAGCGATGCACTGCTCCTGACGCGGTTGTCTGGGCTTGAGCACCTGAATGTGAAATTGTAGTCGTTGCTCAGCATCTACATCAGCAGCCGCACAAAAAAAAGAAGATTTAAGTGTGCCGCATCGCGCTCATTACCGGCGGGGATGTTATTTTCTTACGATTGAATTTCCCCCGTGAGGAATTGGCCGAGCAGCGGGAGCAATAAGCGAGTAAAATTGGCACGGCGAGGGCTGCCAAAGCGGCGTGCCCGTGGGGGACGTGGAAGAGGGGGGGGGAGGGGCCACTGAGCTGGCTGGTGGTGGGGGGGGGTGAGCAGAGCGTGACGGCAGCCGTCGGACGAAGGGACACGGCGATCTACAGCTGCGACGATTCGTCGCTCAAGTCTTCTCGATCGGCAACGCGATTATAATCGATGCGCCGTCCATGACGATAACTGGCGGCTGCCTCCAGCCCAGCCCTCCCCCGGCTGCCCCCCCCCGCCCCCCACCCGCACCAGCTCCAGTGAGACGCATCGAGCTGTCCGCGAACATCGCGATCCGACTAACGCGTTTCGATGCACGCGTTACGAGGCAGGCGACGATCCTGGGGCCGGGTTTAGGATGGGGCCGGGGGGGGTGGGGGCCCCACGCAAAAACACAATAATGCATTTTTTATATAAATAAAAGAAGTACGACTGTTTATTCATACAATAACCTCAAGAATCTCATTGTGAATTACATAAACATTTCACCATTATTAATCGTCGCTTTATTGTTTTAATCTTATCCTTAAATCTTCCCCATCTGACAGATGAATATTCCCACACAGCTGGGGGGAGGAGGGGGGTCCCAGAATTCCACGCTGCTTGAACAGGGCCATACGTCGATGATAATTAAAAACATGCAATGCGTTATCTCTGGTGACCATCAATATACATCAAAATCTGAAATTATTCTGGAGGAATCCGATGAGCTATGAAGCTCTTTTTTCACAGATGTCCAGTTGGGGCAGGTCAGAACGTTACAACAACAAAGAGTACAAACACATTCAGGGTCTCGGTGGGTGGGGGGTATGCCCCCCACTTGGATCGTCTATCTCACTCCCACCTCGTCTCCACAGAACTCGCAGGTCACACAGCATAGTGCGAGAGTGGCGGAGTGGGGGGGAGGGGCGTTGGAATGGGGGGGGCGTTGGAATGGGGGGGGGCGTTGGAGTAGGGGGGTCGTTGGAGTGGGGCGTTGGAATAGGGGGGGCGTTGAAGTGGGGGGGGCGTTGGAGTAGGGGGGGCGTTGGAGGAGAGGGGGTCTTTAGAGTGGGGGGGGGGGGGCGTTGGATTAGGAGGGGGCGTTCGATTAGGGGGGCCGTTTCGGCTGAGGGACAAAACATTCCTCGGTCTGGCCAATGCGAGTGTGGATGCGATTTTGACCTCGTGAAAGTAACTGGCTCCGTCAAAATACAAATAAAAATATTTAACTGAAAAAACAGGAGTTAACTAAGATTCTGCGCTCGGTTTCACAAAAGACATGCGTTTAATTTACCTGTGCATATAGGAACACACAAAACGTGTGGAGATTCATCATTATTGATAACAAGTGACGTTTTATTTTTAATCAGCAATCTGAACGTCGAGTCTGTTTCTCGCTAAGCGCCGCGCGCCAACGAGCCCGCCGGACGGACGTTCAACGAACAACACCAATCAACGAGCAATGGACACGAGGGCGACCCCGAATCCTATCAAGTCCATTTAAAATCGACACCTTGTGATGAAACCGTCCTTTCGCAGACGCTCGTGCAAGGCACACGCACGCACGCACGGTGGTACACGCCGTACTCTATACCTGCGCATGCCGTTCATTTGCCGTCGGCCAACGTGGCCACCACCGCCCGATGAGCGGAGCGACGAGCGCGGCCGCTTCACCTCCGCTTGCAGTCGGCGACTGCGACGAGGGCACCGTTACGGCCGGCCGACCCCATCACGCCCCCCCCCTGTGCCGGGGGGGGGGGGGGGGGGGGAACGCGCGACACGGAGAAGAGGGGCGGAGGGGTTTGGGGGGGGAGGGGGGCACAGACCGGAGGTGAGTCGGGCCGTGCGAGGAAGAGCTGGCCGACTCGCACCCGAGTTGAAGTCAATTGCCCGCAACGTTTCTCGTTTAACGTCCGAAAAGGCGCAGCGAGCGGGCGCCGTGCCCCCCTCCGCGCGGCACCGTCCTCTGCCCACGGGGGGGGTGGGGGGGGGGGGAAGAGCCGTACCTGGGTGCGCACCGCTCCCGCACAGGTAGAGTCCTCGGACCGGCGACCTGTAGCTCACGTGGGACGCGACGGGGCGGGTGAAGTACAGCTGGTCCAGGGACATGGCGCCGTGGAATATGTTCTGCGGGGCGGCAAGGGGTTCATAGACGTGAGTGCTGTCCAAACACGTGCCCCGGGGCGCGCCACGTGCGTAAGCGGCCCGTTTTTAACGGCGGGGGCACGCGCGGGTGCACATGTCGCTGGGGCGCGAGCACACGGCCAAGTGTCGACGTCTGAACGATCCTTACACATGCAACCGCTTCCCCAGGGGGGGGGGCGGGGGGCGGGGGGCGCCGTCTCACGCGCTTACACAAAAACAATCCCACCCCGCTACCCCCCCCCCCCCAAACTGGAACGCGGGGTTAAAAACGGGGACGTTAAAAAGGGGAAGGATCGCGGCGTGTCGTACCCCTCCGGTGAGACCAAACTCCCTCTCCAGGTCGGCGGGGGTCAAGATCTCCCGGCCAATCACGGACGACTTGAACCCCGGAGCGTACTCCTCGATGCAGTCAAACACTGGGGCGTGGGGGAGTGGGGCGGGGGTAGGGGGGCGGCACAGGATAGGCGGCGTAGCCTTGAAGGCCGGCGGCTGCCGACAGGCCACCTCATCGCCGCTGCCGTCACCGCCGTTCGGAGCCGGGTCCGCAGGGGCCGGGGGGGGGGGCCGCGGCCATGCGCCCGGAGTTGGTCACGTTTCACGGACGGCAGCGTGTCCACGGTGACCTCCCCGTCGCCCTCCCTCGTGTGCCCTCGCTAATTTTAATTTCTCCTCAACGCAGCGGCGCCCGCGGCTCTTTCTCTCTGCGCAGGGGGTGCGGCGGTTATTTTGGTTGAATGTGGAATTACACCTCTTAGAGGTAAGAGCGAGGGGACGGTGTTTCTCCGTGGAAAGGTTACGGCTTCGAGCGCGGATCGCCGTATGCAGCTCCAACAGAGAAATGTAACGTGCTTGTTGAGAAATACAGGCAGCAGCCATAGCAGCAGCCGCCGCGAAATTAATTGACGTCTAATGTCGCAAATGCAGGTCGTCTGCCGTTCATTAGTTTCGATTACTTGACTAACATCTCAAAAGGGTGCGGTACGCCCTGAGGAAGTCCTGTTTAGTATTCTATCGGGTAGCTTTTCCTACATCACTAGACACTTATATGTTTAATTAATAGAAAGTTGAGTTAAATATAAATATTAGCGAATAAAAAGTCGTGTACAACAAGTTCACTGAACACATTAATTGCCGGAGGAACACATCTGAGAAACATAATCTAGGAGGCATCTCTAGGGGAAGTATGTAAAGTATATCTAGGGCAACTGTAGGGCAAGTGTTTAATGGCAATTATTTTTTTCTATGAGTAGCCAATGGCTGATGACAGTGACGATGAGGATGATGGTGATGATGTTTGTTCGGTCCTCGCTTAACGCGTGGTGTTCACACAACGCGTTATCGCCTTAACGCGATTCTTACATTCAAGAACACTTTTCCCACAATGCAGAAAGCGCCTGTTATAACTTGAAACACGCGCCGTTATAATGCGGAACGCACGTCGTTATAACGTTGAGCTCGTGCCATTATAATGGGTCGACGACAAACTACCGTGATACAGTTCACGGGATAATACAGTAACGCGGCAGCGTACCCTAAGTTGTGTGTCCCCGGCATCGTATTGTGTGTGCGAATCTCGCCTCAACTTTAACGCGTTTTTCGCTTGACGCGGCACTTTTTAGGAACGCATCCACCGCGTTAAATGAGGGCTGAGTGTATTTCACGTGAATCAGCTCGCAGGCACAGAGCTCAAGTCCTCTGAAAGAATCCCCTGCCAGCTGCCCCTCTGCAGCATGGCTGCCCGCAGCTGCCTGGGTCACATGACAGTGGCGGCCGGAGCCCCGAGCGGAGGTGGTGCCGGAGGGCGGCGGCTGTTGTGGTGGTGGTGGTGGTGGTGTTGGAGACGGTGGTGCCGCTGCCCGGGCGTCGCGGTCGGTGCACCGGGCCTACCTCGATCGCCGTAGGCCTCCCTGTCGGCCTGCGTCCAGGCGCGTCCCCCGGCGAGTAGGTACGGCGTGTACTGCGTGAAGAGTGACACCACGTGGCTTCCCGGAGGCGCCAGCGTTGGGTCCAGTGCCGACGGGATGCACAGCTCCATCATGGGCCTGCAGGGCCGGGGCACACCAGGAACAGGGGTCGGCGCACACAGCGACACGGTGCGTTAGCGCGCACCGGTTATGTCACCTGGCACCGTCACACCGCCGAGGTCGGCGCGCACACCGCTCTCCAGACATGAGTGCACGCCCCTCTGCTCGTATTCCTCCACCCCTCTCTGCCGATGTTCCGGCCGCACCTCTGTCTCCTTGCAGCATTGGCATTGCTGATGCAGGTGTGGCACTTCTCTCCAGGCGTCAGTCGAGTCACACCGCCCGTCCACACCTCGCTTCTATCAACGGAGCGCAGGCAACAACACGGCGCTTCCCAGCCGCCGCTATCGGCCGTGCTGAATCTGTGCAGTAATCCTCTCTGGGAAGGCCGGCTAACGAAATTTTTCTGAAAATCCTTGGCCTTTAGCGATCACGTGCGCTCGCTCCGCATGCACGCGCGAGCGAGCGAGCGGGCGTCCTCCTATCGCCCCGCGGCATCTCACACAGGCTCGCACGACGGCACTCGCGAGGCTCCCGGCTTTTGTTGTTCGATTGCCGTCAAATGGAGCGCATCGCGACGAAGCGGGGACTCGCCGCCCCCCCGCGGGGGACACCTGCTAAACGACGCGCCACTATCTCATTAAGGAACATCCCGGGCGATAACGGCTTTTGAAGAAGAAAAAAAAAGACCTATGCAGCTGTTACAGCGCTTGGGGTTGATATGCTTTCGAAATCTTTCCGACAAAGGTTCAAAGCGCTCGTGCGTCAGCTTCGCCCGTCCGTCTGTCCATAACCGGAGGGGAAGTCACGCACAGGTGACCATTGTCCAAGACGAATGGAACTTCGCTATGAAGTTGTGTTGCCATTAGGGGCTCACACGACTGAAAATCGGCCAAGTCGACCGGTAGGGTTATTGGAGACCCAACCCGGAGTAAAAATGACTTAAGTGCAACCATGCGCGCGTGTTCCATCCGGGTAGCTTCTGTCGGTTTCCATGCGGCAACATAAAATCTACTTGCGTAGGATTTCCCGTGATTGTTGCTGGAGCACGGCTCTTCCACAATGCGCTCTTGGGCTGTACCCGCGTCGTGCTGCTCGGCGTGATGTTCGACGTTTCGCGCCACGTTATGGGAGCTTCTTCAGAAACGGAATAAATACTCCCGAAGACAAACATGTTTCGGAAAGCCTTGATTCGAATGAAATGATCGTTTCTGCTTCCTCTATCTGACCAGGTGGCTCAGCCGATTACGAGTGAGCCACTCAGATCCTGCTTGGTGGGGGGGGGGTGGCTTGACTCAGCCCATCGTGTTTGCGGGGCCCATAAATTAACTACCACTTTGCAGAGAAGTCAACAGTGTTCTGTCGCACCCTGCGCGGCCTTGCATTGGCGGCTCTGACGGTGGTGGCGGGCGGCCGGGCAAGCCAGCCAGCCGGGCCGGCCAGCGGCCGAGTCGGGCCATACCGCGTGGACGGGGCCCCCTGCAGGGCCTCGTGGTAGCCGCGGTCCAGGCAGGCCATGTCCCACGTGTTGAGGTGGATGGAGCAGCGGTGGTGCGCCATCGCCTGCCCCGCTTCGCTCCGTCGGCGCTGCCAGGAAGTGGGGAGACGGTCCACGGCGACTGCGGACAGAGGCAGCAGTACCGGGAGACCTCAGAGCATCGTTAGCCATTATGAATCCACTGCTGGATGAAGAACTACTCCTGCAGTCACTTGCGTAAGTGTATTTATCTGCACGAGGTACGCACCTTTCATATGCCCTGGCCGTGTAAGTATCAGAACTGGATTTAAACCAAATGAAGTATTTATAAAATGAAAAACGATTAACTTTTTTTTATTTTACCATTTAAGGCCCACATGAGCTGTATAGCTCTTTTTCAGAAGCAACCTAGCCACAAATGATAGCTCAACAAAGTGGCTTATCATGTGGACATTTATGCCAGCCAAATACTCTAAAAGCACGTTTCTAAATGTGGAGGCAAAAACCGAAGGGCCAGGAGAAAAATCCACATGATCACGTGGAGAACATGCAAGTTCCAAATATAAAAGCGCAAGTGTTTAATGGGCATGGTCGAGATCGAACCTCCTGTATACCAGGCGAGATAGTTAACATCTTGCCACTGCGAATATATATTTGGATGATGTTTGTTTGCGGGCAGTCATAAGCATCTGGGTTGTGACCACCACACGCTGCACTTGATAATCCAGTAAAATCACATGCGGTTAAACCCGGATTCGAACCGCCGGTGCAAATGAATATTAGTTCCCACCGAGTGAAACATTTATACCCACCAACAACCATCCGTTAAGGGTTCGGTTCATTGTAAGGCACCATACACGCAATGTTGAGCAAAAGTGTCACGGACGTGCTTGAGGAAGTGGCCCTAACAGTCGAGGTACTCGTTGTAAATGGACGGACATGGAGCGTAGACCAGATCCGTTCCATCACGTCATGGGGTACGGTAATACCCCGATTTACATCCTCTCCCCCTTGCACGTCTTTACGCAAATTACCGTCGCCACTTGATCATGAACACCCCGACCAGAATTGCGTCACGTCAACAACCAGACACATACTCACGTCGCTGACAGCATTGTCCGTTCTCTCTCGTTATCCGTCACCTCTCAGCCTTAGGCCTCCACACCTACTATCCTGCCAATCGCTTTGATTGACGTCGTTTCGATATTCGTTATCGCACCTTTCAGGAATGCATCCCCGACGCAAAGAAACAATCAGGACGAGAACTGATATTCCCAAATATTGGATCCGAGCAGGAACCTTCATTCCTGGCAGAAATAAATGTTTTGAGGGAGAGTATATATATACACAGAGCATACATATATATTCTCTGATGCTGGCTCAGCAATTTTTTGGCAGAGTTGGACATCCACATGGCGGGAGGCACAGTGGATCGGTGTTGTGTCGATGTTGCTGTTATGTTGCGAGAGAAATTGGCTAAAAAAAGAGTCGATACCGTTGATTTTGGGTGACGGGAGACGTGTAGTCAATTTGAGAAACCTCTCGGAGGAAGTCAGCCGGCAGGGCATCCTGTGAGGAAATCAGAAAGCGTGACGCCGTATCAATTATTATTATTATTATGTTCAAATTAAATATAAGATTACCAAGAGCCAGTAGTTTACAAAGCCTGGACTGCATCTGCTCAGGTGTCCTTCCACTCTTACGCTTTGCCTGCGCCTCTCAAAGCCAGCCCATCGTGTACCGATTCTCACCTGCAGTGCGATCGTTAATGACAACTGTCCGAAGAAAACGCGCACTCCATACGGGAGATATATGGGGAGGGAGGGTTCAAAATCGCGCTCGCCGCACTGGGCATCCCACTGGGGCCGCCGAGCAGCACAGCGGGTTTGGGAGTCGTTCACGGATCCCTCTGTAAGGGGCCTGGCGTCAACGACAATTGTAATCACAGCAGCATTGTTCACCGAACTTAACGCTGCGATTGCAACTCGTGAGGGGTGACACGGTTATATTTGGGACTGACCACACGTCGGGCCACCGATGCGATCCACGGCTCGATTGAAGCCCTCCCATGGGCGCAAGTTTCACCATAGCGATCCGCGCTGAGCAGCGACGCGTCGTTGAAGGTCGCGGGTGCTTTGGCGTGGAGCACAGAAGCACACAGTGCGACAATGGACACCTGCTGCGCTGCCCCCTGCTGGCCACGACGTAGCCCCCCCCCCCCCCCCAACAGGCCACCGCTGTGCAGGGCAGCGCTGAGCCAAGGAGGGCCCAGGGCCCCGTTCGAGATATGACCCCGCCACCAATGTCAGCTGAGGCCGGGAATCGAACTCGGGTAACTGATTCCATCGCGCAGTATGCTGACCAGTGTGCCACCGCTTCACCCCAGACGGCATTCAATTAATCAATTAATTAATTGAATCATCCCTCATCCTTCAACTGTTTCTTCGGTTGCCCCTCCGCTCCGAGACGTTTGTTACACCACGGGCGCATTGCACGCTGATGTCATTGTTTTCTTTGGTTGTTGCGGTTGTTTTTCTTGTTTTGGTAATTTATTGTGGTTGTTGTTGCTGTGGTTGTTGTTGCTGTGGTTGTGGTTGTTGTTGTGGTAGTTGTTGCTGTGGTTGTTGCTGTGGTTGACGGTGGGCACGGCGTCGCACCTGCGGCGTGAGCTGCGTGAAGGTGACGTGCGGCGTAGCGTTGGACAGCACCACCTTGCTGCGCACCTCTGTGCCACCGCACAGCACCACCCCGGTGGGAGGCGGCCCGTGGCCGTCCACGAGCACCTGCTGCAGCCTCCTGCCAGTGCCGACACGCGACGCGAACACACACAAAGACAAAGATCCCCCGTATAGCCTTCAAAGGACTGTCGGTGCAAGTGCTGTTAGCGAGCGCCTATGAAGGCCGGCACGGAACGCGAGGAAGTGGGTGGCCAACACGATGCCCGGCTGCCTTTGTCTCCCCAGTAGCGATGTTTACACATCACGTACTAGTTACTCATTGAAGGCTGCGTCGACCAAGAGGAGGTCCATGACCAGTTCAGATATATAATCGTCACTGGTGTTGGCCGTGAGCGTGAATCGAAAATGGGGTCATCGGGTTCCTAGCGCATGCACGTACACACACACACGCGCGATCACACACGCACACACACACACGCGTGTAAACACACGCACGCACATAAAGATGACACCTGCCCAGCACACTTCATCCCGATCGTGCTGTCGGTGTCGTTTAGAAAAACGACACCGACAGCCAACATTGGTCCAACGGTGCCAACCGCATGCCAACGGTGGGACGGTGGGCTACACGCGCTAAAGGCCCTGGGAGAAGGGTCGATTCTGCCGCCGTGTTTTTGGTGAAGATGTTGGCATTTTAATGTCAAAAATGTACAACCTTGTGGGTGATCCCAGTGGGAATAATGCGGTGTCAGTTGAGTGCACGTGGTGAGCGGGTGAGTGCGTGGACGACTGAGAGAGCGAAGTGGGTGACCGGTTGCATGGATGATTGAGTGAGTGACCAAGTGAGTGGGTGAGCGGTTGATTCAGTGGGTGGCCAGAGTGAATGACTGGTTGCGTCGGCCAGGAGGAGGAGCGAGCTGGTGGAGTCCGGCGAGCGGGTGAGCGGCGAGCGGTGAGTACCGCCTCGGTGAAGATGGACGCTCCGCGGGAGATGGCGCACTTGGCCATGCAGGTGGATACTGCGCCCATGCCGCCCTCCACGTAGGCCCACATGCCCTTGAACGCCCTCCAGCTCGCCCATCACGTGGTGCAGCAACACGTACCTAGCACCATTGCCACAAACGACCACTACCATCACCATTTCCACCATAACCAACGACACCACCAACCACGACCAAACCCAACCGTGACCACCACGACAACCACCATCATGACCACAACGGAACACCACAGCCAGCACGTTCAGTTATTTTGAGATGGTGGTCTGGACAAGGCCGAGAGCCCTTGTACATGGCATGCCACGCACGTGTGTGCGTTGTTAAATCTCGGAGATGATGGAGCAGAGTAGTAGGAGTGCCCCTGACCCCGTGGGTTCAGCTCACCCACTGCCCGGGGTCCTGGGGCTGACCATGGCTCCAATCACAGAGTCCGTGGCCAGAGAGTGGCCTTCAGAGGCTCCGACTCAAACCATCGGTCCAAAATCTGTTGGGACATCATCATCGTCCTTCAGCATCATCATCATCAGCAACAACAGCATTTACATGACTATCATTAGCGCAGCAATGACATCATGATCATCATCGTCATCTCAAGTATCCTATCGCTGTCATCATTGCCATCACCAGTCGTTGCCATTGTGATCATAATCATCATCACTTGTGTCACAATCATACCATGACCGTTGTCATAATCATCATCAATCAATGTCATAACTTAACGAGCGAGACGCTGACTACACTGGACGCAGCGAGTGCGGCACGCTAACCGCAGTCGCCGCTGCCCGTCGGCGCGTTGTTGGTGAACGTGGCCTTCTCACCGCGCTTCGTGAAAGGACGTCGACGGCTCCATCCGCCGACGTGACCAGATCTGTCTGGGCCGGCGACCCACAAACACATTCCCGCGCCCAGGACACCACATCCGGTATACCTGTCGCGAACGGCTGTGGCGACCAGTGACGTGCCACCTGCTCCAGTTTACCAGTGGCGTGCAATATATTCGGGGAGAAAAGTAAGCCCGGTTTCCATTTGCCAACGGCGGTACGAATCCTTCAATGCCCTGCGATGATGATGATGATGTGTCCGTGCGTGAGCCTGGCTCAGGTGTCTCGCGTCTCTCCCCCTCGTCTCGCACCCAGCACCCGCCCACTCCTCTACCCGCCTCGCCTCCAAAACTCAACTCCAAGCGACTCCCAATTTCATTTTCCAGAGACCCCCGTCGCTAGCCAAACCCCCTGCGGGCTCCTCGCTCCACCCCGCGAATCCCTGGACCTTGGGGGTGAAAGACCGCGCGGACGGTTTGTGGAGGCTTCCGCCGGCAACTGCAGGAGCACAACCAACAATGGGGCACACGGCTCGCCTGCTGACAGCCCAGCCAGCACCGGTGAACCGCCACGCCAAAAGCGATCGAGCATTTCACCCGCCAACGCCTAGTCAGTCGGCTAAAGAACCCGGGCATTGATATGTAACTTTTGTTGCTCTTCCAAAAAATAAAAATCGGTTTCGTCCCCTCTGCGACGTGCCACACGGGAGAAATAACCGCCCCTTGGATCGTGCCACCCACGTGGAGTCATACTATCGTAGGATTCACGAGAACTCAACTTGGTGGTGGGGGCCGTGAGGAAGCTCGTAAAACTTGGGAAGATCCTTCCCTAGCCGGCGCAACTGTTACCGGGAGCCGGGGGGGGGGGGGGGGCGAGACAGGCACACAGGTTAGGGTTAGCGTGGGAGCGGGGTGGGGGAGTAGATGATAACATTTGAGCACTGTAGGGGGGGAGGAGGGCTGTGGGGGGGGCTGCTGAAGTAACATGCAGGGACATTCGCGATCAAGCGCTCGCCACTCCCCCCACCCCCAGCACCGCCGTCGCCCCTCGGCCCTCGCTAACCCCATGGTCCGCGCCCTGCGCCGGTTGTGCGGCGACCGCAACGGCGAGCGATCGCGGCGGGGTAACGACCTGGAGACACCCCCCGGAGGGCCGTCCAGCGCATCCGTAAGCAACCTTCGCACCGCGCGTCGCCGTCGTTCGCTGGGCCGTTCCGCGGTGGCGGACCTCACGTTGTCGTGGGCCTCACGTTTGTCGTGGGCCTCACGTTGTCGTGGGCCTCACGTTGTCGTGGGCCTCACGTTGTCCGTGGGCCGCACGTTGTCGTGGGGCCGCACGTCGTCGTGGGCCACACGAGACAAAGCCGCGGGTCGTGTCTGGACCGCGGGCCGTAGGTCGCGAAGGGCGGAATTCTGTCGGTGCCACATCCGTCCACGTGCGTGGGGTGTAGCGGTGGCTAGATGTTAACTGCCTCGCCTGGTACACAAGAAGCCGTGGGTTCCTGACGCCTGCTCTATATTTGCAATTTGCGTGTCTCTCTCCCCGTGGTCGCGTGGATTTTTCTCCAGGTTCCTCCGGTTTTCCCTTCACATTTCGAATCGACATCACGGCTTTATAGAGTATTTGGCTGCTGCTAGACATTCCACGTGATAAGCCACTTCGTTGAGCTGTCGTTTGTGGTAGCCAGCCCGCTTCTGAAAACAAGAGTTACATAGCTCAGTGGGCCTTACCTGGTAAAATTAACAATAGTTTTTTTAGCGGAGCCGGGCCTGGCGAGTTTCGACCGAAACCCCGGCGGCGCGACTCACCGCAGCTCAGGGCGGGCAGGAAGGATTTGGCGGCGCGCAGGCGCGAGCCGAGGGGACCACCGTGGAACCCGGGGACGTCGGGCGGCGGAGCGTCGATCAGAGGCTCCACGGCCCAGGCCAGCTTCTCCATGAGCTGCACATACTCTGCGTACGCCTGCGCGCACGCGATGCGACACACGGCGCAACGAAGTGGCTTTTTTTTTACGTGGAAAAAAATGACGGCAACGGCCAAATGCTCTAAACGCGTGTTGGTTCTAAATGTGGAGGGGAAAAACTGGAAGACCCGGAGGAAAATCCACGCCAACACGGGGAGAGAAACATGTAAACTCCAAATATAGAGCAGGCGTCCAGGGTCGGGGGTCGAACCCACGACCTCCTGTATATCAGGGCGAGATAGTTAACATCTCGTTCCTGCAGAACTCGTTTGGCTTCTTTGGTGATCCCTGAGTTGACTCACCGCAAACACGCGCAGGTACACGCGCAGGTACACGTTTGCATGCCTCTGTGTACACATTTGCATACTTCTGTGCACACGTGTGCGTACCTGTGTACACACACAAACCCTCTGCACACATCTTGAGGTCCTCATCCAGCAGTGCACTGACGGGCTGTACGGATACTCATTGCGTGAACTATGGGTGATGCAGCGCTCCAATAATTCACTCCAGTCACTCACTCGGTGGTCAGTCTCCTCCTCGTCACGCAGTCTATCGCTACCACCACGGTTTCTACTCTCGGCACCTTCGCTCGTTGATTCCTCCGCCCATGTTGAGGACTCTGCCACACTGCACGGCACGACACTTCTCTGTCTGCTCCCTCCCCTCGTCTCTTTTCCCAAGCACAATTCAATGCTCAATAATTAAAATGACAAAAAAAATGCGTTGCACTCTGAGCTATGACAATGTTGACAGTGCCGCTTGTCGCCGGCCGCTTGACGTGCTGGGCCTCTGTGCCTGTGGCTCAGCGATCAGCTGAACGTTTAAGAGAGAAATCGCGTGGAGAAATCAAAATCGCGTCACGAGGTGTGCTCTCGCTGGCGCGTGGCGGCTCTGCGCCAGCACCCCTCGCCCTCACCCCCTCCCCGCGCGTGTTTGCATTCGGCTCGAGGGCGGCTTGACACGGGCGGCGCGACGGGTCGCAGGTGCGTCTACAGCTCGTGATTTGCCATCCGTGCCAGCACACTCTCTAGGTCACGTGGGCCGCCAAGGTGAGATTCCTGGAAATAATCCGGCGATGGTTCCACACCGCACGTCCATCGTAGCCGACACTTTTTCGGCGGCGTGAGCAAACGCCGGCTTTCTTCGGAGGACGTGGGGCTGAAGAGCCGCGGTGGATCGAGGCGGAATCGCGTCCAGAAAATGCGGCAAGGGAGCAGTCCTCTCGGGATTAAGGCGGGGTAGGGGGGGGAGGTCACAGTGTTCAGGCGCAGACGAATAACGAGGCAGCGAGCGGGCCGCGGCTGACGACCACGAGCGGCGGCTGCGTCGGTTACTTTGGCATCCCTCGCGGAGAACCAGGCGATGCTCCGCTGGTTCTCCTGCATGTCCAGCCCCAGCAGCAGCGACGGCGGGCGGGCGGCTCACGCCTGCCGTCCGACGGGGAGGGGTTGAAGGAGTACGGGTCGCGGGGGTAGAGCTTCAGCCCGAACTTCTACAGAGAGACACAAACACCAAGAACCGCCACCCTCTCACCACCACCACCACGTGCAGCCTTTAAACAGACTGTGGGGGGCAAGTGCTGTACACGTGGTGGTGTGGCCAGGCCACCTTTGGCCTAGCCACACCACCTCGTGCGTCACACACAGTATCAGCTACTCGTTTCAGGCACAGTTGACCAAGGAAGTAGTTCGGATGTCACTCGCCACTGATTATAGCCGTGGCTGGGAATCAAACTCAGGTAAGCCAGATTCGTAGAGAAATGTGGTAATCCAAGCCGACTCTAAGATCCCTTCAATTGACCACCAGTCCACACCTCGAAACCCGCTTTGTCACTGAGGGTAATGGTCATCTTGTAACAGTCAAAACGACATTCAGATTCAATTATCAGAGCTGGGGTTTCGTAAGATTAAGTGCAGAACAAATTTTACTCTCATTTCTATGCATGCAGTTGTTGGTGACTGGGCTGAAGCCATCAACTCGCTGCGCTTGAGCACCCAAGTTTAACTACCAGGTTGAATCACCCAATTTTACCATCCGGGTTTAACCACCAGGTTTAACCACCCAATTTTACCATCCGGGTTTAACCACCCAGGTTTATCCACCTGGGTTTAACTGCCCGATTTAACTACCCAGTTCAACCACCCAGGTTTAACCACGTAGTTGAACCACCCGGGTTTGACTACCTGGTTTAACCACCCGGGTTTAACCACCCGGTTTAACAACCCGGGTTTAACCACCCAGTATAACCACCCAGTTTAACCATCTGTGTTTAACCACCCGGTTTTACTACTCGGTTTAACCACCCGGGTTTAACCACCCGGTTTAATCACCTAGGTTTAACCACCCGCTTTGACCACACAGATTTAAGCACCCAGTATAACCACCCGGCTTGAACCACCGACTGTAATCACCCGGTTTCACCACCCGGGTTTAAGCCCTGGGTACAACCACCCGGGATTCACCACCCGTTTTCACCACCCGATTTAACCGCCCAGGTTTAACTACCCCGGTTTAACCACCTGGGTTTTACCACCTGAGTTTAACCACAGGCAGCAGCTAATGACCTGGACTGGAACCCAAGTTCTCAGTGCTTTGATCTGTGAGCAGCCGTGCCACCTCTTTTGATAGATTTCTGCCCTCGGCAAAAGAGAAAAACCCGAGCACAGCGGAGAGAGAGATGGGGGTGGGGAGGAGGCAGCTCCGTACCTTCAGCTCGAGGTCTTTGTAAATCTGCGGCCTCAGCAAACTGAGCACGTAGGAGGCGCGGGAGAACTTGAACCCTGAGGGGCGACACGAGCGAGGGGAAGAGCCGGCGCGAGGGGCACCACGGTGGCGAGATGTTAGCTACCTCGCCTGCTATACAGGAAGTCGTGGGTTCGATCCTGTATATTTGGAGTTTGCATGTTCTCCCCGTGGTCGCGTGGATTTTTACCCGGGTCCTCCCACCACATTAAGAAACGTGCGTTTAGAGTATTTGGCTGCTATAAATTCCCACGTATGGTAAGCCACTTCGTTGAGGGGAGACAAACTGCCAGGGGGGGTGGAATACACCAGAAGACCGGACGTTATCCCTGGCCATTAACCCGAACCCAGCAACCCGAAGCTACATTCACTCGAAGCCCAGGGGTCGGTCACCTGTGGCTCCAGAGTCGAATGCGGCTCTTAAGGACCGCTTGCTTTGTGGCGTCAATCACGAAGGACCACCGTCTCGTAGTCACCCGCAGTGCATTGCGGCTCTTGAAATAGTGAGGGTGTTTTACTCAATTCGAAACAAAATGGCTCCTCTTGTTGTTTTGGTTGCCGACCCCATGCTCGAGCCGCGCTACGCTTGACCCGAAGCACACGAGCCAATCAGACATTAGCTCTGCCACTAAGCCTAACCTAGAGCCACCCCAATCAACTAAAATTCAAGCCTCCTACCCTTAACCGTAACAAACTAGCCAACCACACGCCAGGCCAGCGGTGTAGCGATCGAGAGGTGCAGGCTGTGCAGCTGCACCGGGCTGGGGGGGGGGGGGGGCGTCCAGGCAGCGGCTACGGAGGGGAAAACTGAACATTAATTCCTTGTGCCAGGGCTACGTGCAACCACGCTGGTCCAAGCCTGATCCACAATAGCCAACCAGACCCTAGCCCGACCCCTAAGCCTAACTCTAACAATGCAGCCAAACTAACTCGAACCCCTCCAAACTATCTCGAATCCTATCTCCTTCCCCACACCTCCGATTAGCACGGTTGGTTACATACCGTGCGAAAGAAATTCAAGAGAAATGCACACAACAAACTCTCCAAACAGCCCTGAGCTATATCCCTTCACTTGGCCATCATGCCAGCTTGAGCCTCACCTCTGGTGCTTTGCCCCAACCCAGTTGACATTTTTTGTTTCATTGTCGCTCTAATTGCTTAAAGAGCCACTACTGCTCCTTGTGGGGGAGAGGGGGGGAGGGGAGCAGGGGGGTCAGTGACCTCTGACTCACAACGCTGACCTGGGACGATCTCCTCGGTGATGGCCGCTCCACCGACCACGTGCCGACGTTCCACCACGGCGGTGTCGAACCCGGCCTGCTGCAGGTAGGAGGCCTGGTGATGGGCGTCGGGATTAGTTGGGAGCAGGGGGCATGGTTGGGGAGAGAGTGGAGACATCAAACGTCCCGGATTGGCCGGGACAGCGTTGATTTCAGAAAGTCTCTCCTGATGCCTTTCTTCCCAACCCTGAAGGTTTCGTGAAGTTCAGGAATTCGGCTACCTGCTATGGGGCGGGGGCTACCTGGTTAGTGGGAGGAGCTACCTGTTGAGTGAGCGGACAACCTGGTTATGGGGCGGAGCTACATGGGTAATGGGCGGAGCTACCTGGGTAATGGGCGGTGCTACCTGAGTAGTTGGCAGAGCTACCTGGATAATGGGCGGAGCTACCTGGGTAATGGGCGGTGCTACCTGGGTAGTGGGCGGACCTACCTTCCTCAATAAATAAGGAGACAGGCAGCCACCTTCACATATCAGGTCCCTCCAAAGTCCATTTTTTTAAATATCCCATCGGTCGCAAAGCATTCTGGGAGCTCACAATTTCAATAGCGTTGGTTCGATGCAAATTCTTGACCAGTTTCGGCATTGGCGTCTCATCACGCTTGCTTGAACCAATGCAAATAGCTGGCCAGATGTTTACCGGCAAATACCCCCTCTATTAGCCATGGCTCCGAGTACAACAATTGCGACTGCCAAGAAGACGCAGCTGAAGACTCTCTGCACTGCTGTGGACATCACTGTGTGGCAGGGTTTGCCGGGGCGTGCGGTGCGATGGTTCCGTGCTTGCGCCCGGCTCTGCGAGTCGTACTCACAGCAACTAGACCGTTGTGTCCTGCCAGGACGAGAGGAATACAACTCGGGATTAGAGCAGATCTATAAAAGAATATCCCCATGTAGCCTCAACAGACTGTTGGGGCAAGTGCTGTTAGCGAGCAGCACCTATGATGGCCGGAACGGTGCACCAGGGGGTGGGTGGCCAACACCACGCACGGCTGCCTTTGGCTCCCCAGTGGCGGTGTTTACACACAGCACCAGGTACTCATTTGAGGCTGAGTCGACCTTGCGGAAGCCAAAGACCGGCTCAAGATATTCGCCACCGTTATTGGTTGTGAGCAGGAATCGAACTCAGGTCACCTGGCAGTGCGCTAACCACTGTTCCAGCAAACTAAATGCGGCCACACAACTGTAGCGTCACGTTCATTTGGAGGTTCATTACTTGGTTTAACACGTAGGCTTTCGCGATCAATATTAGTCATAATAAAGGTGTTTGGGTTAGATCGCGTTATTCATAAATGTGTCACAACCCTCCACCACCCGACACGGCCAATCAGTGAAAAAAGTGTCACGTTGACAAAAGACAAATAGTTCATTACTTTAGCCCACCGGTGTGTTGAAGAGTGAATCCACAACATTTTAAATTTTTGAGTACGACGTTTTGCTGGTAATTACATCCAGCATCATCGGGCGATTTGCCAAAATAGTGAAGCCCTCCACTTGCTCCCGGTCTTAAATGGAGCAGCAGGGTGACGTCATCATTTAACCCAATCAGGTGCAGAGATCAGAGGCGGAGGGGTTATTGTAATTATATAATAGATTAGTAATAAGTTAATTGTTATGATTCCTCGATAAGGAGTTGTAATGTGTATTATTTAATAACTTAACCCAATCACTATACCCAATCAGGTGCAGAAATGGCGGAGGGGGGGGAGGGGGTTATTGTAATTAGAAACTACGTTAGTAATCAGTTAATTAGTATGTGTTTCCCACTGTAAGGAATTGTAATTGTAATATGTATTATTGAATAATACGCTTCCAGGCCGCACTAAGCCTGTAGCTGTCAGAGCGATTACAATTATTTCGATATCTCTCAATTTCGATGGATTCTCTAATTAGTCTTGGCCAGTAATAATTCGTTTTAAATAACACTTCAACGTTATCAATTGAGTGCCCTTGTTGGCAAGCATGTTCTGCCACTGCCGACAGTTGTGTTTGAGATAATTTAATATTTCTTTGGTGTTCTTTTAGCCTTACGCTGATGTTATGTCCCGTCTGTCCAATATAGCATCTGCCCCATAAGCAATTCATCCGATATACACCTTCTGTTGATAATTTAGGTAATTCGTCTTTCATACAAGATACTAGTTTTAGAATTTTGTGTACTGTTTTACAAAAGCAAAACATTAAAGTAAGATTTGTTACAGAAAGTGATGGTAAAAAAATATACGCAGCAGACTGCTACGTCCGTACGTGACGTCACCGTAAAAGAGCCCCCCCCCCCGCATCATGAATATTCATGAGTGGGTGGATTTTGACACGAGCGCAGAGGGAGGTCGAGCTCAATTAAATATTTTATTACGCAACATCGCTTCAAATATGACGACGTTTCTTTACGGAAAGTGACGGTAAAAATAAATCTACGCAGCACAGTGCTACGTCCGTGCGTGACGTCACTGCAAAAGAGCCCCCCCCGACCCCCCTTCATTAACATTCATGCCCGCGTGGAAATTTACACTGACGCACAAGAAGGTCGCGCACTCCACATGCCGCACCCCTCCCCTCATTAATAATAATGAGCGGGTGACGTCACTCCACATGCCGCACCCCTCCACAATGACCATGAGGGGGTGACGTCACTCCACATGCCGCACCCCTCCCCAATAACCATTAGCGGGTGACGTCACTCCACATGGGGCAACCCCCGCCCCCTCATTGATAATCATGAGCTGAACAATTTTTCGATTTAATTTTTCGATTTAATATTTCATTTTTACTACAATCTACACCCGTCCTTGGACGAGCAAACAAGCTAGTGGGCAATAACGGATCCGAACAAACAACAACAGAATATTCTTGGTTCTTTCGGTAAAGTCACGTAGAAGGGAAACAATAAAGTAATAAAAATATAAAAGAATAAAATTCTCACGACGTTTCTACTGCAACACAAGCAATAATCATCAGGTGTGAAAACCACAGCAAGAAAATTGTATTGTTTTATATTTTTATTATTTTATTGTTTCCCTTCTATGTGACTTTACCGAAAGAACCAAGAATATGAATCCCTGCAGTCACGAAAGCTTTAAATAAAACCAACAACAAGAGTTTAGCAAGGGATTGAACACAGTGCAGACGTGAATGTTGACTCCACACTACGGGTGAAACCAATCGACTCCTGGCTCGTAAGTTTTGAGGGCACAAAATCTGAAATAGTGGCTTTCAGACCGTGCTGTATTTTGAACAAATGTAAGCGCCCAAACTCTTTTATAACATGAATGAAATTGGCATCACTCACTCATTCGCGATCATCGGCATGTGTGAGATGCGTAACAGCACGACTGAGGGCTGTGTTGGAACAAGTTGATAACCCACGTATTGTGAAGCAAAACCCATGCTCAGGTGTTGTTGAACACTTTACAATCCACTGTTGCTACGTTAGTATTGTATCTGTTTTATTTTGCTGCAGGATTTCAGTCCTTCACGGAGTAGTGTGTTACCAATTGTTTTCTTGGTGACTATGGTCCCAGCTGCCTTGAGATCATTGACAAGATCCTCCCGTGTAGTTCTGGGCTGAATCCTCACCGTTCTCATGATCATTGCAACTCCACGAGGTGAGATCTTGCATGGAGCCCCAGGCCGAGGGAGATTGACAGTTCTTTTGTGTTTCTTCCATTTGCGAATAATCGCACCAACTGTTGTCACCTTCTCACCAAGCTGCTTGGCAATGGTCTTGTAGCCCATTCCAGCCTTGTGTAGGTCTACAATCTTGTCCCTGACATCCTTGGAGAGCTCTTTGGTCTTGGCCATGGTGAAGAGTTTGGAATCTGATTGATTGATTGCCTCTGTGGACAGGTGTCTTTTATACAGGTAACAAGCTCATATTAGGAGCACTCCCTTTAAGAGTGTGCTCCTAATCTCAGCTCGTTACCTGTATAAAAGACACCTGGGAGCCAGAAATCTTTCTGATTGAGAGGGGGTCAAATATTTATTTCCCTCATTAAAATGGAAATCAATTTATAACATTTTCGACGTGCGTTTTTCTGGTTTTTTTGTTGTTATTCTGTCTCTCACTGTTCAAATAAACCTACCTATAGACTGATCATTTCTTTATCAGTGGGCAAACGTACAAAATCAGCAGGGGATCAAATAGATTTGAAGCTTTCGTGACTGCAAAGATTCATACTCTTTGGTTTTATTGTGTTGACTTTTCCACCTGAAGACGGAAGCTTGTGTTACCTCCGAAACGTCGTGATTTAATTATTTTGTCTTATTTTATCTACGTGACTTTACCGAATAAAATCAAAGAGCAGGGGATCAAATACTTTATTCCCTCACTGTAACATCTCGCCACCGTGAACGCCCCTATCTTCTACGCGCCACCCACCCCCACCATGGATGGCCGCACAGTCTACGAAGCACAATGAGCAACAACAAGAAAAAACACTCAGCACAATGAGCATTATTTTTATCAGCCTGCTCTCAACAACGCAAAACGTCCTCATTTCTCATTCCCTCTCTGCACTCTTATTTCTCATTCCCTCTGCACTCCTATTTCTCATTCCCTCTCTGGAATCTTATTTCTCATTCCCTCTCTGGAATCTTATTTCTCATTCCCTCTCTGCGCTCTTATTTATCATTCCCTCTCTGCGCTCTTATTTCTCATTCCCTCTCTGCGCTCTTATTTTTCATTCCCTCTGCACTCTTATTTCTCATTCCCTCTGCACTCTTATTTCTCATTCCCTCTCTGCACTCTTATTTCTAATTCCTTCTCTGCGCTCTTATTTCTCATTCCCTCTCTGGACTCTTATTTCTCATTCCCTCTCTGCACTCTTATTTCTCATTTCCTCTTTGCACTCTTATTTCTCATTCCCTCTCTGGAATCTTATTTCCCATTCCCTCTTTGAGCTCTTATTTCTCATTGCCTCTCTACACTCTTATTTCTCATTCCCTCTCTGGAATCTTACTTCTCATTCGCTCTCTGGAATCTTATTTCTCATTCCCTCTCTGGACTCGCTGGACCTCCGTGCGCATGGCGCCTGTCCAGAACACTCCTCGAATTTGTTGTCAAGGACCAAGAGCACGGGGAAGCCTGGCACTTTGGGAACAATGATTGAAACTTGGGAGATCGTCAAGTAACCAACGGAGACGGTGGGGTGAAGGTGATTCTAAACTGATGGTTTGTATGTTGAACATTTTTCGTACCGTACGTAAGCCTACCGTGCTCATGGGAGGTGCGATGGGGGTACAGCGTAAGGCTCTGTTCTCTGCTCAATCGTTTTGGGGTGGTGCAGCTGCACCCCCACGCTATCCCACCCACCCCCCAACCCCCCCCCCCACCACCCCCCCCCCCCCCCCCCACTGTTCCCACCGATGGAAAATAAAAACCATGAACGCGTCAGAACTCACAACAAATTGAACTAGATAATCATCCTGCAGTAAATCCACTGCTGTATGAAGGCACTAACCGACATGGCGTCGGTTAGAGGGGGTAGTTTGACCACGGCGGTTTGTGCGGGATGGTGAAAGGCGCAGAGGAAGGAGGAACCAGGACCGACTCGGACACCGCTCGTTCGCTGATGTCAGCCGCGGCCGGGAATCTAACTCGGGATCCTGGGTTTAGGGCGGCGCTGCGCTAACCGCTGCGCCGCCGCTCCATCTCGTGAAAACCAAAACGACGAGACGTCAGCGCGTGGCGACGGCGCCATGCGATTGATCTTGCAACCGCGACACCCCAAGCCAGCCGGCCAACCCTGTATCGCAACCGTGTTTAAAGGGGGGGGGGGGCATACACTCAGATGGGGGTGAAAGTGGGTGGGTGGGGGGTGTGCATGGCAATGTTGAACAAAGAAGAATAGGATTCACCCTTCACGGCAATCAAACAGATGGTGTTAAGATGTTCAAACATCAAGTCTGCATAAACCACACACAATTGCGGCAAAACATGCCAACAAATGTCCTCTGATAGTTATACATGCATTGTCTTTTAAACGGATTGGCCTACACCAGAGGCGGCCTTCTTGGTGGCCTTGACTCGCCAGTGTTAGAGCAGAGGACGACGCCAAAAGGCGAACAGTGCAACGGCAATGCAGGTAGCAAAGTGTCAATAGCTCGAGTTGAGCGGTTATATCTATGGGGCCTTTTTGCCAGTATAAAAACGATGAACAATTAAAACACCTGCTTCACTGACAGTTTTATTGCCAGAAACGCTAATGCCTATTCTCATGTGTTCGTCATTTTAATACCGGCTAAATAGGGTGCCACGGATAATGTTGAACAAACTTTAAACCAAATATCCAACGCGAAACCTGAGTGCGCGAACGATGCGCTCGTGTCAATATCACCGCCCGTGTGTGCATGTGGGGAGCGGTGGCATAGCGAGTAGCGCGCTGCGCTACGAACCAGGCCACCCGGGTTCGATTCCCGCTCACGGGCAACACCAGTGACAATTATCTGAACCTGTTCCTGGGCCTCCCCTAGGTCGACTCGGCCTTAAATGAGTAGTTTTGCGCAGCGGTGTGTAAACATCGCCACTGGGGAGACAAAGGCGGCCGGGCGTGGTGTTGGTCACTCACCCACTCGTGTGACGTGCTGACCTTCACTAACATCACTTGCCCCAACAGTCTGTTAAGGCTGTACGCGAGGTCTTTGTAGGGGCGAGGAAAAGGCTGCGATGCCACCCATCACGGGCTCTCGCAATGCGGTTTGCACAGTCCAAAGTCCCAACACGTCAAGTGGTCAGCAACGAACAGCACCATCGTGTTAGCAGACAAAATGCGACTCAATTTCAGCGGTATAAAGAGACGATGGCGATCCTTCAGCAGTCGGTGGGGGGCCCCCTAAAGTCCCCCTCCTCCACCGCCACCCCGACACTATGAGTTTGTCCAAAGCCCCCCCCCGCCCCCCGAGTTGCGAACCCATGAGCTCCGCGCCGGGGGTTCACTCGCCTGCTCCAATCACCACGGCGTCGTAGCTGCTTTTGAGGGTGGCCCCGGCCAGCCCCGTGAGGCCGCGGGCTCCCGGGGGTTCCCGGCCGAGCTGACGGCCCCCTGCGAGCACGCGGCCGGCCATGGCGAGCTGGGAGGGGGGGAGGCGCCTAGGGAGAGCAGCGCAGAGCAGCGACGAAAGTAGGGGGCCGAGGGAGACGAGAACAGAGAGACGAGGGCAAGCTTATATAATTTGTGTCGCCCGCTTACGTGGAGACTTAAGTGCACTTGCACGAGACCTTGACCTCCAACCTCCAATCTCCTTATTTGGCCCCGTATCCCCTCCCCCACTCGCCACTCCCACTCTTCCCCCCCAGGGGTGAAGATAATGACACCGCACATTGCTGGACGGAACGGTAAGAGAGAGAGAGGGCCGGGAGCCGGGAGGTCAGGACATGTTGGTTCACCAGGCACGGGCTGGTGAACGCAAGGGTGGGTGCTGAGCCTGTCACATCACACTCGCCACCGATTTGTCAGCCGTGACCGGGAAGGGAACGCTGAGCCCGCGTGGTCAGCGTTGCAAAGTGCGAGCCACGCGGTGCAGGTGCTCCAATCCAACCCGGTTTTAATTCTCACTCCCTATTTTCTGGGCCGCCAATCCCGACTGCGACTGTTCTCGATCCATCCACCATCAACACTGCATTTGTTGTTAAACGTAGAGGACGTTTACTTTGTGGAAAAAATAACTTTAGCAAAAACAATCATATTACTAATCCACGTTACAATCGTGATAGTGGCGATGATGTTGCCCAGCCCTTTGGAGCAGAGGGTTGGTGGATCACGGAGCGTTTTAGGAAACCTCAAAATCCGCTGGGCTGCCAGGTGGCCGGGAGATGGCAGTCCACCACGTGGGTTCGTGAACCCGCCTGTGCACTACTCTACGCGCTCATCCTTGAATTGACCACCTCCCTGTCTCTCCACCTGCCCGCCCACCTGCCACTCGATCCACCCACCTATTTTTCAACCCACCCACTGACCCGCCCACTTGCCCCTCGACTCGCTCACCTGCCACTTCACCCACCCACCTATCTCTCTGCCCACCCACCTATCTCGCAACCCACTCACCTGTCTCGCAACCCACCCACTGACCCGCCCACTTGCCCTCTACCCACCTACCTGCCTTGCCCACCTGTCCGTTTCGCCTGAGTTGCGGAAGGACATAAGGTTACAAACGGAGGGTGTGGGGCATGCGACCCCCTGTATCTCGTTCGGTTGTCGAAGCAACGCGAGGCTTTTCTTGACGCGTCCCAGCGAAATCGGCGTCCACCACTCGCTGTGTTGGGCAGCTTGTGCCAGACTCCCCACCGCTTTCTCTACGCAAAATAAAACACAATCACCTCCCTATTTTCGAACCCGAATTTCTTCCAACACGCGCAGCTTCCGTACTCGCCTCCTCTGGGGTTCCCTTCGCTGTGTTGAGCCTCAAGTGGTCGGGGGGAGTCCCGGGATCGACCTGGCGACTTAGTTTGGGTGGCTTTACAACCCCGGCCGATATTCTTCTGAGTTCAAGGTCAAATAGGACGATCGCCCACCTCGGAGTTGTATTGTCTGCGCAACGTTCAGGGTTTAACGGCGCAGGCGTCACTCTGCCGCGTGTCTCTCTTAGGGAGCCCCGTCCAGAGCAGTCCCTTCCCTGTTGAGTTCGGGGGCTCAGCGCCGTGCGGGCCACGTGCGGCGCGCTCTGCGGGCCCCCTCTTCCTGGCTCATGGCCGTGACCGAGAGACCCGCGCCTCCCCCCGCCGCCTCCGCCCACCAATCACAGCCGGGCACCGCGCTCACAGTCCCACCCCGCTCAATAAACACTCGCGCCCCATACATTGCTGGCCGTTAGCCAAAGAGGCTAAAGGCCAGCAAGTCCGTCGAAACAATGTTAAGTATGAGGCCAATGGTGGCGATTCGTATCATAATCCCACTCATTAAAAATGGGTGCTATCTACCGCACGCTGCCTTTGACCGCATTAAGACATCGGATCCACGAAGGTAATGCCACCTCGGGAGCTATCAACCACGTAGAATATCTGCTGTCGGTTCGTGGACTTGAAGCAGGATTGAGTCTGTAAAGTGCTTAGAGATGTTAACTACCACGCCTGGTGGGTTCGATCCCGATCCCGACGCCTGTAAATTTGGAGTTTGCGTGTCTCCCTCCCCGTGGTCGTGTGGATTTTCTCCGTGTCCTCTGGGTTTTCCCATTTCCACGTTTTAGAAACATGCACTTCTAGTATTTGGCCGCGATCAATTCCCACACAAGCCACTTCGTTGAGCTATCGTTTGTGGCCTGGTCGCGTCTGAAAAAAGAGCTCTATATAGCTCAGTGGGCCTTACCTGGTAAAATAAATAATAGTTTAGTTTTAGTTTAATGTGCACGCAACAGCCGGTTACTCCGACAGAGGTTGCTACGGAGGTGGCCGGGAAGGCTCAAAAGGTCAGAGCAGCAGAGAGCCGGCACAGCTGAAAAACCCCGAGTTTAAAACCCGGCAGCCACACGCAATCAAATCGTGATTCTCGAGCGAAGGAAAGGGATGGTCTGACTCAGCTTGGTCACCTGATGAATGCACAAACAAAACAAAACCCATCACAACAAATCAATTTGGCTCCGCATTTAATTCGGCAATGTTGGTTCTTCTGAGAATTCAAAATCTCCGAGAATTTAAGAAAGACCGGTTGTGGATACGGTGCCCCCTGCCATGTGGACCAGCTGTGTCACCTGAGGAAGGGATCTCAAGAGGTCGCTCTGCGATTTCTACTTACGTGCGCCGTTCACCAAAGCGCAGCTTTGCGCACACTGCTCGCCACCGCTCGTTCCGAATTCCGTCGGCGTCTCAGACCTATCATCACAATATTTATTCATACTGGAGGAATCCGATGAGCTATGAAGCTCTTTTTTTTCACCGACGTCTCGGACATTCGCGCTTCCTACCCCAGTGGGAACGCAGGAATTCAAACGCACACTCGGCGGAGCACCCCACCCCCCGCCCCTCCTTCTCCCGAGACGGGGGCGAGCGAGAGCGCCCGAGATGAGCGCCGTGCACGGCTGGAGGAAAGCATCGGCCGTCTCGCCTCACCTGCCCCGACTCTCACTCCGCCGACGACGCTGTGCGCGGCGTCTATTTTTAACGTCGTCCTCGGCACGAGCGCCCCGGATTGGCACCCCCCCCCCCCCCCCCCCCGTCGAGCGCCTTCAATAGAATTTTGGCAGCGGGGATCCACTTTAAATAAAGATCATCAGCCTCTCCGCGGCTGCAAGCGATGCTGCTTCCACCGCGCTGCCGGGTCCCTTGGTGGGGTACGGGGGGGGGGCGGGGATTGCGTGACGGACGCACGGCCGTGGTGTCCTTGGCACTGCGGATATATTTGACGCCGTTCGCATTTTTTGGAAATCAATTTATTAAATAACTGTGGACGATACACGGACATTAAAAATTTTTGTGCACACTCGGGCGCCGAACGCGGCACGCACAGCAGGCGACCGACGAGGTGTTTGTGGAAGCTTATACAGACTCGCGTTGAATATCCGATGAGTTTATACTTCACATCAACAAGCAAAGTACTGTGTACAGCATGTGAATATACGTTATATGACCTGAATGATAGACTTATCATCACCATTATTATCTTTGAATGCTATTTATAACCTGGCTCAAATGAAATTAAGTCTATGAATGCGCCCAGAATTAAATGCCTCATTAAAAAAATTACTGCCACATTCACATTTATAACATGCACGGTTACATCATCGCTGCACGTAGACATATGAGCCACTTGCATAGGGAATACAACACGGAGTGAAGATCATGGAAGAACTGCCAACGAAGGCTTCTCCCGCTTGCTATTTTCCCCGATCATGCTCCTGAAAGCCTGCAGAGAGCCACGGCCCGTGATGGTCTCACGCCTGTCTAACCCGTCTCTCAGCTCCTGCACTTTGCTGTCCATTTGGGCAAGTGCCAAATCTCTCCACTCCTGAAGACAATCTTGTCAGGTGCGAAGATGCAAATTATCGGGCCACTCTCCAATCTTTCTACGAACTCGAGAGGAGCTGAGCGGCTCGGAACTGGCACGGCTAAGGCCTCACCACGTAGCTCGCTCGATGAACTTCAGTCCGCTTACCGATCCCTCCGCTCCACCGAGACCACGGCCGTGTGCTATTTTCCACGATCTCCTGGCGGCTGTCCATTGTGGGTGGGTGGAAGCACCGGTAGGACTGAACATTCTGGCCACTTGTGTCCTCATCGATCACCGTGTCCTGCACTCATTCGGCCGTTTTATCTTCACCAAAGATGGACCGTTGTCCCATCTCCACCGTTGTCCTGTCTCCATTCGGCATCCCACAGGGACCCGTTCTCGGTCCCACTCTCGCCTTGACGATTGCAACTCTATGCTTGCTGTACGGAGTAAACGATGCACTCAGCAAAAGAATGGAGTTTTACACCTGCAGCCTCGGTGTCTGGAACGGTATCCGTTACCCGCTCTTCAGTCCGGACGAGAAACATTTATTTTTTCTTCTGGTGAGTTGAGTTCAGTTAATTTTTCTCAGTGCCATAAGCGCTTCCGTCTCTGCTTTTTGCCCAATAAGGCGCGTTACAAATCTTGGGATTGATCGCTCACCAATTTTCAGGCCTCAGCCAGTGGTATTAATTCCACATTTATACGGGGGGACGGGGGGGGGGGACGACGACGAATTTTATCCTTGGGACAAGCGCCGTCTCGACTTCCCCACAAAGTGTTACAGATTTTATTGACTCGAGAGGGATGATGGAATCGCAGCGTCCACCACCACGAGCCACGCGCCCTCTGACCCCCGCCACCGGCCAGACTGCTGCTGCCCGGCTGGTGCGTGGAAAGCACAACCACGAACATTGTTCCAAAGATGAGGCAGCCTCACACAGTCACGATTCTACCATTATCCCATTTTACATATATACACAAAGACAAAGATCCCCCTGTATGGCCTCAACAGACTGTTGGGGCAAGTGCTGTTAGCGAGCACCTATGAAGGCCAGCATGGCACACGAGGGGGTGGGGGGCCAGCACCACGCCCGGCCGCCTTTGTCTCCCTCGTGGCTATATTTTCACATCGCACCGAACACTCATGTGAGGCCGAGTCGACCCAGGGGAGGCTCAGCACTGCATCAGATAACTGTGAGTGGTGTTGGCCGTGAGCAGGAATCGAAGTCGGGTCGCCAGGCTTGTAGTACAGCATGCCAACCGCTACACTACCGCTCCCCACTATTATATATACATATACAAAAATATTCCCTGTATAGGCTGAAGAGACTGTTGGGGCAAGTGCTTTTTGCGAGCACCTATATACACACACACACCTTCAGTGTCATGTTGAACACAATTATCTGTTGAACGCAATTTATAAAATCTGTAAATGTTCATGGGATAGGTCAGTCGTTTGACACAAATTATTTACGTGTAAATTACAGCCCTAATTGGGTGACATACTATGAATGAACTTATACATCTATGCTCTGATTATATGAATGACAATCGACATCGTTAAAGTGTCTGAAATCATCATCAGCCATGTTCAGTCCACTTTTGGATGAAGGCCTCCCCCCAAGCCGCTACCGTCTCGGATGGCCCTGCAATGATCCCTCCATCGCCCCCACGGGGGCTGTGGGGACGACCTCTCGGCTCGGCTCCCACCCCTGGCGAGACACACAGCGCAGACGTGCCCACGAGTCGAGCTCGCAGAGAGAAGAGCGGCGCTAGTGGAGCAGAGCGCTAGCAGAGAGAGGGGGCTAGTGGAGCAGACCGCTAGCAGAGAGAGGGGCTAGTGGAGCAGAGCGCTAGCAGAGAGAGGGGGCTAGCGGAGCAGACCGCTAGCAGAGAGAGGGGCTAGTGGAGCAGAGCGCTAGCAGAGAGAGGGGCTAGTGGAGCAGACCGCTAGCAGAGAGAGGGGCTAGTGGAGCAGACCGCTAGCAGAGAGAGGGGCTAGTGGAGCAGAGCATTCGCAGAGAGAGGGGCTAGTGGAGTGCTAACAGAGAGAGGGGCTAGCGGAGTGCTAGCGGAGTGCTAACAGATAGAGGGGCTAGCGGAGTGCTAGCGGAGGGCTAAGAGATAGAGGATAGAGGGGCTAGCGGAGTGCTTGCGGAGGGGGAGGCTAGTGGAGCGCCAGCGGAGAGAGGGGCTCGCAGAGAGGAGAGGCGGGCTAGTAGAGAGGGAGAGGCTATCGGAGCGGAGCGCTGGTAGATAGGGAGAGGCTAGCAGAGCGGAGCGCTGGTAGATAGGGAGAGGCTAGCGGAGCGCTGCTAGCGCTGCACGGTGCCGAGGAAGCTGGCGGGCACGTAGCCCCGGTGGCCGCTGTCACTCTCCACGAGCCACCACTGTGGATTCCCCCCGAGGTCGCTCGTGTGCAGCACGCGCACGCGCTGTCCCGCGCGCACGCTCGCCTGGCCCACGCCCTGCGCCGAGAACGTGAACAGCGCACACCACTCCTGTGTTCACGGGGAAGTGGGGGGGACGAGAGATGGGGGGGGGGGAGGTGCACAGTTACACACGTGACCGAGTTGCACAGTGGATGCGCATCACGTGGAAGTTGCACCGTTACAGACTAGCACATTTGCGCCTTTTGGCAGACTTCATGATCTGTCCTCATCCATGGAAAGAGCTGATATCCATGAGGTTATCCACAGATGAGTGTGGATAATTGGATGAACCTTGCCACTACTTCCTGTTTAAACTGTAAAACACACGGATGACCATATTACATTAGTTACTTCTGGGTGATGGCTTCCAGGTGACTTATCTGTGAATTCATGCAGAAAAAATTAAGCGAATACAAAGAAAAAATTCACAAATAATAATAAAAATTTAATGGATCGAAAAAAAGACTCCCTCCTGTCTCTGGGGTCAACGGTGGCGTTGGCGCTGCCCACCTGTCTGTCCAGTGGCAGCGGAGAGGCGGTCGGCACCGCACCGGGAGGTTGCTGCCCCCCTTCGCTCTCGGCCCTCGACCCCATGGTCCAGCGTCTCCTCTGGCCCACGTGCTTCCCGCTACTCGCCTGGCTTTCCGGCGAGTGTTCGGCCCCGCCGTCCGTGGTGGCAGTACCACCACCAGTACCGCCCCAACCGCCACCGCCGTCACCGCCACCATCCCCGGGCACCGCCCACCCATAGCCACGCTCGATGCAGACCGACGCCGATCGCGGCCGGTCGCCCCCCGGCAGCAGCAGTTCGTTGCGCGAATCGGCGATGCCGGGCCTGCCGGTTTGAGGCTCCTCTGGCTTCGGCGAGGTCACCGCCGGTGCCGCCACCAGGCCGAGGCTGCCCCGCTTGGCGTCGAGGGCGCGGCTCGGCCGATGCGCTGGCCGGGAGGCGCTGCCGCCCGAGGGCGTCGCTCCGGGCGCTCGCTTGGAGGTGCCGTCACCAGGTGGCGAGTCGCCGGATACGAAGATGGACGGCACGCGGAGGTTGATCGCCATGGAGGAGAATGAGGATGATAAGGAGGAGGAGGAGGAAGAGGAGGAGAATCCCGCCGCCTTGTACGGCACGAGCAGCGAGGACTTCACGAAACCACGTGACACTGCAGGCGGAAGCAGGAGCAACAGCAGCAGCACGCGTCATCATTTGGGGCACAGTGGATAAATAAAACATCGCCACCATCGGGCCGACAAAAAATTTAACTTCTCAGCCAAATGTCGTCTTCATGATAATAATAATAATATTAACAATAACGGAGTGGCAGCCGAGGATTTCCACTATCCCAATGGAGCGATGAAATCGGTTTGCGTGCAGGTGCTGGGTGGGCCGTTGCATCGCAGGATCGCGAGAGGAGGCAGCTTGGGGAAGCTGTGATCCAGCAGTTGATTGATCATGGCTGATGATGATGGTGAGGATGATGAAGAGTCAAAGGATATATCATTTAATCGATGTAACGTGAAATCGGGTCCCGATTTACTTGGTTTGTATCGTGCAATTATTTAATGTACAGGAGTTAGGCAAAATAGTAGATGGAGTATGTTATGAACAAGCAGATATCGTTCTCCAGGTGTTTCCCTCCATACTTAGAATCAACAGTTTTTTTTTTTTGCTTAGAGCGCGTAAATATATAAATGTGCCGTTAAACCCGCCACCACCCGACACAGCCAATTAGTAAGGTTTGTCATGTAAACAGAAAATGCCAATTCGTTACTTGTACTTCGCCCCCTTTGCACACGAAGGGCTCACAAGTGACATCATCACATCTCTCTATTTAAGGAATGAAACAGAGGGATTTCTCCACAAATCTGCCTGTCCGCCTGAAGATGCTAGCTGTAATTACTGGATTTGCTCTCCAACACACCGGTGTGCTGTACTAGTAACGAATTGGCACGTTCTGTTTACGTGAGAAACCTTACTAGTTGGCTGTGTCGAGTGGTGGCGGGTTTAACGACACATTTACATTCATGCAATCTAACCCCCCAAAAAATACCTTCCATTAATGGATGATATTGGTCGCGAAATCCTACGTGTTAAACGTGCGTTTAGCCCATTTGGCTGCAAAAAAAGATGTTCACGTGATAATTCCACTTGGCCGAGCTATCATTTGTGATAGCCAGGTCGCTTCTCGAAAAGAGCTACGTAGCTCAGTGGGCCCACGGGGCCCCACGGGGCCCCTGGCGACCCCTGGCCTCACCCCCGCTGTCGACGAGCCAGCGATGAGAGTTCCCCTGCGTGTCGTGGCGCGTGACGACGGCCACCACCGCGCCGCGGCACAGCCGCAGGTCAGTCTGCTTGAACGGCGTCGTGTTGGCCGTCACCCGGTGCAGCTGCTCCGCCGGGTACTGCGCCAGCTTCGGGGGCAGGACGGGCCCCGGCGACGCGGGCCTCTGACGGGAAAAACAAAGCCGGGGGGCAGGGGCAGGGGGTTGCAGGCCTCGAGTCGAGGCGGTCGGGCGGTGCCCCGCGTCGTTTGGCACGGTGTCCGACGTTTTCGCCGCGCGTGTGCCGGGAGCGCTCCCTAACCGAATTGCGCCGAAGAAGCTCCGGGCGCTCGGAGCGAAAGCTGAAGGCGTCGCGGCCGGCAACGCGCGGCACGCGCCGGGGGCGCGTCGTCGGAGAGACGCGCCCGCTCGAGGCGTCGTCGCACGTCCGTGAGCGATGGCGGTGGATCGGGGAGCCGTGCATTCAGCAGTGGATAGAACACGACTAACGATTGTCCTTGGGAAGATTTTCCGAAGGCATCACGTGCTCAGCTCGTAGATGACCAAGCATCCACAGGTGCCAACGTGGGCTGGGCAGACGAGCGATCGTGTTGTATGCAAGGTGCGTGATGACAATGTTTTTGATGATTTCGATTTTCAAGATGATATTGATGATGATGGTGATGATGGTGATGATGCATGTATGTATGTATGTATGCTGAACTTCTTTCGCACCATACGTAGCCAACCATGCTAATCGGAGGTGCAGGGGAAGGACAGCAATCTAAACACAAAAAGCAGTTCAAAAGAAATACGTTTGCAATCTAGATTTAAACGTGCATAGCTATATGGGCTTCCTAATATCGGAAGGAAGAGTATTCCAAACGGCCGCAGAAGCACATCTGAAAGCATGCGATGGAGTGACCATCTTAGTTCAATGGTTTGCCAAAATCCGCTGCGAGATGACCAACGATGATGATGACCGACGATGATGATGATGATAGTAATGATGAGTGTCTCACAGCAGGGGAGGCGAGGGTGGAGCCCGGCAGGAGGATCATGGGGTCTGCAGAAAACTGCAGGTGCGAGAGGATGTCCTCGTGCCTGGCGCTGGCGCTGAGGAAGTACGGGAGGATGTTCGGGTCCCCGGCCTCGATGTTCATCATCTGCGGCGAGAATTGTCGAATCGTCGATGCTGGGCACCATATCTAAACCATGTTCATGATGCCAATTAATTACTGGATGTATGTATGTATGCACTGTATGTAGTCAACTGTGCTAATTGGAGGTGCGGTACAATGCTTTGGCAAGTGAAGTGAATGAAACAACTGAATCAATTAACAAATGCATGACTTTTGATTTAAAGCTTTCGTGCCTGCAGCGATTCATATTATTGGTTCTTTCGGTAAAGTCACGTTGAAGGGAAACAATAAAATAATAAAATAAATATAAAACAATAAAATTCTCACGACGTTTCGACTGCAACACAAGCAGTCATCATCAAGTGTGAAAACCATAATAATATATTTTATTATTTTATTGTTTCCCTTCAACGTGACTTTACCGAAAGAACCAAGAATATAAATGCATGACTGACGAAGAGTCGTCAGCCCACTGATCACCTCGGGAGCTTCGCTCTGTCCCAGCCCACCTTCTCCACGTGAAGCGCGTCTATGAGTCTCCATGTGAGTCTCTGGGTCTCTATGTGGGTCTAAGGGTCTCTGTGTGGGTCTATGGGTCTCCATGTGGGTCTCTGGGTCTCTATGTGGGTCTATGGGTATCTGAGTCGATGGGTCTCCATGCGAGTCTCTGGGTCTCTATGCGAGTCTATGGGTATCCGAGTCTATGGATCTCCATGTGCGTCTATGGGTCTCCATGTGAATCTGTGAGAAAGCGCTGATGAAACCACCATCATTGCTTTCCATTTTCTCAACGAATCCACCTGCACGCATTATATATAATTATCAGCTGAGACTGGAAACCCCTCAACCTGGAGCCACGTGCCAATACCACTCTTCCACCCCCTACCCCCCGACCACCCGCTTCTCTGCCCTCCGACCTCTCGGAGCGGTTCCATCTCTGCGGCGGCGGCCCCGAGGAACGCTCGGTGGGCTCGGACGAGCCCCTGGATGGCGCCGAGTGCGAGCGCGGCCACGCAGCGGCAGAACGTCGGCAGCTCCTCCAGCAGCTGCACGTTCAGGGTCTCGTACTCGCGCCGCGACAGCTCCAAGGGCTGCTGCGCATCATCCAGCGAGCCGGCGTGCTCCATCCAGTGGCCGTAGTCGAGCAGCTTGTCGAAGCGCTTCTGGACCAGCAGCTGGGGCATGGCGAAGGCGTGGTGGACGCCGCTCAGCAGCGGCACCACCCGGCTCTCCAGGCGCGAACGCTGCGGTTCCCCCCGCATCGGGGACGATGGGTGGGAGGGCATGGGGAGCAGGGCAGGAGGGGTAGAGGAGCGGAGGAGAGGACCGTACGTAATTTGAAACTCGATCCGCACGCGGCGGGGACAGCGTTGTGGCCTCCGCGCGACGTTCGGAGGTTTTTTGTTTCTTCCCATCTGTGACCGCGTCTCTTAGCAAACATGTCGCCCGCTTCTCCTGCACGGCATCCCGAGCTGCGGCCGCGTTCGGTCTCCGCGTGAATCCACGGTGTGCGGGAGCGGAGGGGATGCGCCGCGCGACTCGGCTTGTCGCTGCGACGCAGATCGATCCCCGAAGATCGGGCCTCACGGCTAACCGCATGCGCAGCACGAATAACGATTTTGATTCGTTTTGATTCACACATCTCGTAGTTCCATTGTAGGAATGAACATGCACGGAGGGCAGGTACAGATATTCCAATTGACCATTTTCTTACTGCACAGCGATCCGCAGAAACAGCTCGAGGGGCGACAGTGGCCCGTCGGCCCCGTCTACGACATCCAAGGGCCGTCTCTGCACGACTCCGGCGGTCGCGGCGCTGGCGTCCAACGGACGGGAGCCTCCGACAAGCTATAAACTTAACAATTAACTATTTTTTATTTGACCAGGTAAGGCCCACCGAGCTACACGGCTCTTTTTTCCAAAGCGACCTCTCTTCATGTGGAAATTGATAGCAGCCAAACACTCTACAGACACGTTTCTAAATCTGCAGGGAGAAAGCCAGAGGACACGAAAAAAAATCCACGCGACCACGGCGAGAGACGAACAAACTCCAAATACACAGCAAGCGTCGGGGGTCGGGATCGAACCCACAACCTCCTCCATACCGGGCGAGGCAGTTAACATCTCGCACGAGTCCAGCACGGCGCCACCGCTCCCGTCGCGAACTCACCAGCTGCTGCGTGTGCCTCTCGGCGATGGCGTGGAGTGCCGCGCGGAGCGGCTCGGCGATGTCGTCGTTCCGCTCGGGCCACAGCACCCGCAGGCCGGGCGCGGCCGCCAGCCACGCGTCCTGGGGGCCCTTGACCATGGCGGCAACAACACGTGACCGCGGTGGTGGCGACGACACAGCTGTAACCCGTCACCCCACCCCCCCCTTGGCATAGCGTCATCATAGTTGACAGCATTAGCAACAGCATTATTATTATTATATTCTTGGTTCTTTCGGTAAAGTCACGTAGAAGGGAAACGATAAAATAATACAAATATAAAACAATTAAATTCTCACGACGTTTCGACTGCAACACAAGCAATCATCATCAGGTGTGAAAACCACAGCAAGAAAAATTTGAAAAAAGTGGCGGGTTTTTTTAATGTTAGCACCACGGAGAGCGATTTGGCAGCTATTCAGATGGACGAGTCCATCTATGTTCGGAAAAGAGTAGGGGGGAGACGAAAATAATGGATGCGGTCTGAAAGCCACCATAAGCGTGAACAATCAATTAAGACCCGAAATGGTATCAAATCCTTCCAATGATTGCTAAGCCAGAATCCATCTTCTCGGTTGAAATTGTCTCTGTGTTTGTATATGTGGATAGCCTCATGAACGAATCTCTCTTGGTAGCCAGATGGCTTGCAGAGAACCTCTGTCTTGGAGAAGTCAATGTCATGTGAGCCTACTGAATTATAACAGTGATCTGCCACGGCCGAGGTGTTGGTCCTACCGTGTTTTAGGTCTGCTTTGTGTTCACAGATGTGGTCCGAGACATGTCATTTGGTTTCTCCAATGTAACTACTACCACAGAGGCAACTTAGTTTGTAGACGCCAAACTAAGTTGTTATTACTCTCCGCACATCCGATTAGCACGGTTGGCTACGTATGGTGCGAAAGAAGTTTAACATACAGTACATACAACGAATGTGGATGTTGGTGCAGAGTTTGCCTGTGTTGAACCAGTGCTATGAAGGGGAGTTGGGGGGGGGGGGGGGGTGCAGCAGCACTTTTCAACGGACGGGGGCGCACTGCAGGCGCTCACCTGCAGATGCAGCAGGTACCCCTCCAGCCCGTGCAGCAGGGCTCCGACGAGGCGATGCAGGGCGAGGAACGAGTCGTGCGCCTTCTCAAATTCTTCATCCGCGGGCTGCCGACAAACACGAGACGGATCTGGGCATTAGGCCGGCGGTGCCGCGGCCTCTGGCTGGCACCCGTCAGTGACGCGAGCCTCGACCGCCGGGCGGCAGCCGACTCTCACCTCGCCACGACGTGCCCTGCATTTCTCCTGCTAACTCTTGCCAACAGGAGTGCACGTCATCGCGAGTGATGCGGGATTCGATTTCAAATGTCCGAGACAGAGACGGATTGCTCCCCCGCCTTCTAATCACCACACACCCCGACAGCTTCTCTTTGCTTCATTGCTGAACTTTTTTTTGTTTTGTTTTTTGTATCATTTTGGTGACACGGGTTGCTCTCGAAGTCTGGCCTGGTGAAAACAAATTAAAGCCCGACCCTGGAATCCCTGTTAATACAGCAATTTCGTAGTTTGTGATTACGAACGCACATTTCTGTTTGGGAGGAATGTGCACGCGCCCCGCTTGCGAAGCTCACGGATTAAACTCTTGGACCTTTAGACCCGAATCAACGCGACTCTACAGAACTTTATCACAGCTCAGCTGAAACGTGACCTGAATCGGGACAAGGGCAGCATGGAGCGAGCCAGCGAATCTTTACAAACTTCGCCGTCCAAACTCCGAGGTAAACATTACCCAGCATGGACCAGGCTCGTGTTTGGAAATGTCACAGGCAAGCTCCGCTCCGGGTCTGTAACCGCGCTCCGATGGCAGCGGCAAATTAATTTCCGTTCATATCGGCTCCGGCTGTCGGGCAGTGGGCGGTGCCCATGGCTCCAGTTTTAAGCAGGCTGCGAAATTCACTCTGGGGTTTTCAAGGTGGATTTGTGTGGTGGATTCAAGGAAGGCAGCGCGCGATGATGATGATTATCATCATCACATGTTGCCACAGTGGCGAGCTGTGAACTACCTTCGCCTGGTATACAGGTCGTGGGTTCCACCCTGACGCCTGTATATGTGGATTATACATGTTCTCCCCGTGGTCACTTGAAATTCTTTATGGGTCCTCCGGTTTTTCCCCACATTTAGAATCAATGTGTGTTTAGAGTATTTGGCTGCTCTAAATGTCCATGTGAAAAGCCACTTCTTTGAGCTATTCGTGGCGAGGTCGCTTCTGAAAAAGAGCCATATAGCTCAGTGGGCTTTACCTGGTAAAATAAAATGATTTAGTTTACTTTATTATGAGAGTGACGATGATGATGATAATGCTGCACCAGTGCTGGGCTCCACCAGACCCAGTTTCTCCAGGAAGCTGCGCCCATCTGCTAGAGAAATCGCTGGTGATGAAGCCACTGCCAGCAACATTTCAGTTCCCCATTGGGATCTCTACGCGAGCCTGTGGGTCTCTCAGCGAGTCTGTGGGTCATACTGCGAGTGTATACAGGCCTTTACGCGAGTCTATCAGTTGAAATGTGAGTCTGTAGGCCAATATATGCTGCGGGTCTCTCAGCATACATTGCCAAGTCACTGCCATCGAGAAACAAAAACGGGCGAGCGCCGTCGCGTGTGACCTCAATGCGGAGCGGTCGCGCCGTGCCCGGGCGCCGTGCAGCAACGGGAGGGGATCGCGTGCGAGCGCGCGGACCGCTCGAGCCATTTCCCAGCTGCTTGGAATTGCGCGGGCACGGGGATGGGGGTGCGGTGCCGATGTGGATAAAACGCCAAACTCCCCGAGACCCAGACCCACCACCGACGGACGGGGGGGGGGGGGGGGGGGGGGGGGGGTCCTGAAATTCCGGCGCACCCCGACCCCCCGCTCCATTACTTAAATTACACTCTTCGTTCGGCGCACCCCGCACTCGATCACGCTCTGCTGTTGGCAACGGTCGAATTTGCCGGCAAGCTCTGGACAAATGAAGGGCAGCTGCCGACATTGATTCCCGCGACTCCGCACCGCCGTCCTCCTCTTCAACTTCCTCACACGACTCCGCGCGCAGCGGCGTTGCCCGAGATGTTGCCTGCGAGCGACGTTGCTTGCCGCGCGGCACCATAGTTGCGGGTAGCTCTCCAACTGCGGACGTCTTCAACTCGCGGGCGCTCCGCCGGCCCCGAGCATTTCTCTCCGACGGCGCCACCGCAACGGAGCGAATCCCGTCTCTCCCGGAGGCGCCGAGCGAACGGGGGAGGGGGCGTAGGTGGGAGCCGGGGGGTAGGGGGTGGGCACCGAACGTAGATTCGACGGCGGTGACGGCACGAGGCGGCGTCGCCCCGGTGAGCGCGCGGCACGCGGAGCCGCGGCCGGGCGCCCTCAGCCTAAAGGTCGAGCGTGAGCGACGGGGCGTCACGCGTCTGCTGGCTGCTCGCTATTGCACGCACGTGCGAGGTGCGTGCGTGTGCACGTGAGCGCGAGCGCGTGCTCGTAGATGAGTATGCGACGCGCGGCCCTTGCCAGTGCGGAGAGCCCCGTGGCCGTTCGGAACTGCTGGCTCAGGCGCGCCCCTTTCTTCTGCAGCGTGTGCAGGTTCAGCCGCGACAGCCGATCCACCAGCGGCATCGCCTCCTGTCGGCGGTACTTGAGCACTACCGAGGGGGACGAGTGAGGTGGGGGGGGGGGCGTCCGGGGCCGGTCAGGAGGAGAAGGGTGAAGGGGGTCAAGGGTCACAGGGAGGGGCAGCGGGAGAGCGGCAGTGAGCACGGGCGCGAGCGAGCGGGAGCGATAAAAATAGAGCAGCGATCGAACGCGGGTCACCGCCCCGTGGGGAGTGGGGGGCCTGGGGGGGAGTGGGGGGGGCATCTCCTGTTGTGGTCTCCCAGCAGTTACAGCTCACGACGAGAGGAAGCATTAGATCCCATTACGATTCACGGCAGTCGAAGGTTTTTTTTTCAATTAAATCCGCCAAGACAGATGTGACGTCCGGCTAATAGAAATTGCGACGGTGCGCCTGTGACTCTTTCAATTAGCGTTATCACTCACTCCCCTCACCGTGGAGAGCCCCGGGAAAGTAGGAAGGGGGGGGGGAGGTTGCGCCACTTGACCCCCGCGAACCGTGCGACACAGTCGCCAAGCTCCGGAGCCGTCATGGTTTCGACAGGAAGTTTTAAATGACTCTCCACGCGGGGACCGCTCTGCCGCCAATCCTTGCGAGCCACGGCTTAGGTGTCTCACCGAATATTTTCCGGGGCCGCCGGTCGACTGGAGTTAAGCGGAGGCGACTCAAGTCAGACATCCGAATGCGCACACGCAAAGACAAAGATCCCCCGTGTAGCCTACACAGGTATACATGCTTTCGGGGCAAGTGCCATCAGCGAGCTGACCCAGGAAGGTGCTCGCTCGCAATGATAAACACGCGAGCGAGTAAATGGGAGGGCAAGCGTGAGAGTGAGCGGGAGGGCTGCACGGAGGGTGAACGGGACGGTGAAGGGGAGGGTGAAAGGGAGGGGCGAGCGTGAGAGTGAGCGTGGGAGTGAATGGGAGAGGGAGCGGGAGGGGGAGAGGGAGCGGGAGGGCGCGTGGTTGCCCACCCTGGTCGGTGCGCCGCTTCTGCTCGTTGATGCTCGAGTTGACATCGAGCAGCGCCCGCACGGCGCGCTTCAGCGCGGCGTGCTCCGGGTGCCCCTCGGGCGTGCGATTCAGCACTGCCTGCAGCAGCAGTGAGTAGCGCATCACGCGTTGCACCGGCTTGATGAGCATGAAGCTCAGGTCCACGTTCATGCCCAGCCTGGGGGGGTGGGGCGGCACGGGGGTGGCACGGGGTGGCGTGAGTGCACGAGGGAAGACAACCGGTCGCCCGATGCGATCGGCGACCCACGCGGCCGCTTTTGTCCGCATCCGAGCGAGCGGTCGCGCATCAAGAGGGGAATTGAACGGCGTGTTCAGGGTCGTGACGACCGATCACAGCTCGCTCTGTGCGCGTGTCACGCGGCGATGAAATGCGTCGCTGCGCTGATGGGTGTGTGAAAGCCGGGTTGTCTCCGCTGCAAGCAACCGGTTGAGCAAATGCTCACAACTGGTTGCAGAGAAGATGTCCACATACGAGCGTTTAACTTGCATGCAACCGAATTGTCTCCCCGATCGCTCAGTTGTGGAGCCGGCTTCGGTGCGTTTGTGTTTGTGCAAGTGTACGGTGTGTACGGACTGCGTGTGCACTGCGTGTGCACTGCGTGTGCAGTGACATAGAATTGGTCACTACGTAGCATAGCGTGGGTTGCTGGCAGAGAAGGTGATCTGCAGTTGCAGCAGCCCTGCCTGGCAGCAGGTCACGTGACAGGCCAGAGAGAGATGTAGGAGAAAGGTTACAGAGGGGGCACGTGAGGGAAGCCCTGGAACCCGCTAGTAGGTTCTAGAAGGGGGGCGTGGCCGGGGAGGAGCGAGGCCCCGTTGGGAGGATAAAAGGGGACCCCGAGCGGGAGCTCGGGGCTGTCGTCTGGAGTGGGATCCCCTCGTGGTGCTGCTAGAGTCTTCGCCGCCGTCTTCACCTGTAGTTACCTCTTGTGACCTGTGAAAGCTGTTAATAAATAGAGTGCCTCCTACTCTTAGTGTCTCCGAGTCAGTTACTACACACGTGTACCGTGTGTGTACTGCGTGCACGTGTGTGCACTGCGCATATACAGCGTGAACCGTGTGTGTACTGTGTGTGTACTGCGTGAACCGTGTGTGTACTGTGCGTGCGCTGCGTGCACTGCGTGTGCTCACTGTTCCACGAGTTGGGCCTCGCAGGCTTCGATGCGGGCGCTGGTGGCCGGGTTGCCGCGGCAACACTTGAGACAGGCGGCGGCCTCCTCATAGTACTGGCAGTAGGGCCTGTAGGCCGCCTCGATGTCCGGGGAGAACTTCTCAAACACCTCGCCTGACACGGCAACAAAAAGTGCAAAGATCCCCCCCACGTAGTCCACATTGGCTGTTCGGACAAGTGCTGTTAGTGAGCACCGCCTACGCAGGTGGTCACCAACAACAATAAACACACACACACACACACAGGCACACAGACTGTTCTGGCAAGTGTTGTTAGCGAGCGCCTATTAAGGCGGGCACGGCGCACGGGACAGTGGTGTGGCCGGTTCGGCCCCCGCCCTCGTTCGTCCCCTCAGCGTTCATGTTTACACACCGCAGCAGGTTTAAGGCTGAGTCGACCGAGGGGAGGAACGGCACTGGTTCCGACTGCTTGCCACTGATGTTGGGCTCACTGCTGCTTCCAAGTTTGCTTCCTTCTCCATCTCAGGAATTGCACGACGCGGCGCCCCTCGTTACCCAGGGAGGAGGAAGGGGGTGAGGAAGAATTAAGCAGCAGCGGCAGCTGCAGCGGCAGCGGCAGCAGCAGCAGCAGCAGCATTCGTGCTCAGCAGGAAGTACACCAGGCGCGGGGCTCGAACTGGGACGCCAAGTGGGGCCTGCGGTCGATCCCTCCCCGCACCTCCTCCTCCTCTTCGGAGCGCGCGACTCGCAGCACACCGCAGCACCCCGCAGCACCCCGCAGCACCCCGCAGCACCCCGCAGCACCCCGCAGCACACCGCAGCACACCGCAGCACCCCGCAGCACGGCGCAGCACGGCGCACCTCATCGTCGCCTGGTTAACCCCCGTGGATGCGGTGCGCTGCTGAATTTTTACCGAGCGCAACTCGAATCACGATGTATTCAATATATTGTTTTACCCAGGGTGCTGTGCGACTCGGAGCCGCCCCGTGTGCAGTCGTGCAGGGCCTGGAGCAGGGCCTGCGACACGCCGATGATCTCCTCCATGTTGCCGAACACCAGGCTCACGTCGGGGCCCTCCACCTGCGAAAGGGTCGACAGGTAAAGGCGCAGCCCTGCGAGTGCTTGCTTGTATCAGTGCCGGTGGAAGAGCGCTGGTGGAAGGGCCTCCACTCGACGGAGTGCTCGAGTGCCCCAGCCCCCCGCCACTATCTAGAGGGTATTTGGCCTATTCTTCCAGGTTGGCCGGACATCTCTGAAAAAGATTGGGTAACGTGCATTTTCCCTGTAGCACGTGATCTGCCGATTGACTCACTGTGGTAAACCTGTATTTGTATGTTGAACTTCATTTGCGCCGTACGTAGCCAACCATGCTAAATCGGAGGTGCAGGGGAAGGACAACAAACTAACCACAAAATGAGTTCTAAAGAAATGAATTCTCAAACTAGAAAAACATATTTACACTGATGTTGTAATTACAGACCTGGAACACACTATCATTAACTATAGTTCCACACTATCTTCGATTAAATTCCCTCCTGTAAATAAAAAAAAAATGGGTTTGACTGGTCACAGGGTGGATCGGAAAGTGCCGCCCCCCTTCCAGTGTGGACCAGAGGTCAATAGAAGAAACCTGAGCAGTAGTTCTATGATATCCACCTCCGTGGGCCGTCCTCCTCCGACACGAACAATTGTACTGCTCCGTGGAGAATTTCCGGGTGCGATCGGGGACCGCGTTCGGGATTGTTTTTTTTTCTTTTCAATCGCAAATTTTGTTGGAGCCTTGCAGCGAGCTAACGAACGAGTCGGGTGCGGCGCGGCGCCTCCCGCCGGCGTGGAGGGCCTCACCTGCGTCTCGCGCAGCGGCGCCAGCATCAAGTCCACACACAGGCGCAGGTGGTGCAGGAACATCGTCTCCGTGTGGACGATCTCCTGCACGGCGAGCTCCCGCTTCACTGCGGCGCCGCTCGGGGACACGGGAAGTACAGTCTCTTGTTCTCCTATAACGCGGGAGTAGTTACGTTCCGGAAGAACACCGCGTTATGGAAAAATCGCGTTATAATATGTAATATAGGGGGTAAGGCACAGTACGCGATAATACGCGAGATGCACGTATGCAGGCTGAACAAAGACTGAGATGCGTGGGTAGCATCTACAAGCATCCAGCAGCATCCCGCCTTGTGCGATGCTACACCGAGGCAGCCGTACAACCGCTTAGTCCTACTCGAGCGACATGGATCCGTTCACTCAATCGCATCATTTACAATTCGTATCTGCTTTATAAAAATAATGTATTCCCTTCTCCATTTATCGCGTTGTACCCAATACGCGTTATGAAAACAACAGGCGTTATCGGAGAACAGACTGTATATTAACGATGAAAGTGAGATGCATTTCCTGCTCAAGTGAGCATTGAGGTGGTGCCATCTCCTGTGTACAACCCTGTCTCGCGTGGTGGAACTCATATTCACCACGGCAGGGATGAGTCTCTCCATCAGACCAACACACTGGACTTTTTCCAGAGTGTTACTCATTTTATACATTCTGCAGGGATGATGGGCTGCGTCGACCAGGATGTGAACTTGCAACCTTCTGATTGGAAGCCGCTCGCTCGTCTGCTGAGCCACCGGGCTACCTGGTGGGTTCATAATAATGATTATAATAATGTTGTGTATAAAAAATATAACTAGAATAAAGTGTGTATGTGTACACAAGAGCTGAATTCCTCACTGGATAAAGTTATTCTTGGTTGCTGGTAGACCAGAGTCGGCACGTGATTAGTCAGGGTTCGTTTGTGGTGGGGTGAAGTGTGGGTACTCCCACCTACAAGTCGTCTGCCCAGTGTGGAAGAGTAGACCAAAGACCCTCTCTAGAGGGGCTCTAGAGTTCCCTCTAGTGGAGGCCCTTCTGCCAGCAGTGGCTCAAACGAGTAATTGCAGGGCTGCGCCTTTACTCCAAAAATGTCGGTTTGATTTGAACAAAATAAGAAATAAAAAATTATCTCCCCTGCCCAGTCTCTGTTCTGCAGTCAAAATGCAAATCCTCCTGCAGAGGAGAGGGGAGAGGATGGGGGGAGGTGGGGGAGGGTGTGACATCATCAGTCGCCGGTGTCGCACACACCCGCAGTGGCACTCCGCATGGACTCTAGGATCTGTGAGTGCGGAGAGGCGAGCGCTGGCATGCGGAGCCCATGTATTTTTTCAAGTGTGACGCTCCTCGTGAAACAATGCCAGATTTGCGCCTGCGTCATCATCGGCCACGGTCGATCAACTGCTGGATGATAGCCTCCCCCAAGCCGGCGGTATCCCTAGCAATTCGGCGGGCGATGATCGACCGAGCACCAGCACACGAGCCGATTTCATCACTCCATCTCCCGCGGTGTACGTACTTGCCGAACGCGTTCCATTCTTCGTACATTTTTTGGACCGTCGGCCACTGTCCATCCGTAGCATCGCTGGGACCTGCACAAGCCTATTTGGCGCTCTTAATGGTGTGGACGATGTAATGAACCTGCGTATGTTCTCTAATCCATGTGCACCTCTTCCTGTCTCTCCATGTAATGAAGACGAATGTGTGTATGTGATCCACGCAGTTGGGTCATGCAACGTGTATTTCTTTTGTTACCACTCCACTTTGCTGTGGGCGATGAGAGAGGGGAGAGGTAGGAGAGTGTGTGGAGGGGAGTAGAGTGAGATGAGTGGGAAGAGGTAGGAGAGTGCGTGGTGGGGAGTAGAGTGGGATGAGAGGGGAGAGGCAGGAGAGTGCGTGGAGGGGAGTAGAGTGAGATAGAGAGAAGGCAGGGGTGAGCCTGTGGAGGCGGATTGCTCCACGCCTATCTCACTCCACCTCCGCAATCCCGCGAGTCACATTTACGTTCATGTAAAAAGTTATGTTTAATTAATTGCACAAAAACGTGTCATTTCAGCAACAACAACAACAACAAAAAAACCTGCTGAATCCACAACAGACGACGCAGCGCAGATGTTCCGAATCATCGACGAGAAATCGCGCATTCATCTCAGTCTGCGCCCCTTATGTTCGGCTTCGCGAGACGGGACTCCGCACGCCCGCTCGCGGCGCCCCGTCTCGCCCTGCCGCCGCCCCGAGCCAGATGCTCCTCCGGCGCTCAACTAGCGGACGGACAGACGCCAAATCCCGCGGCTTACGCGTGGCGTCGGGGGGGCTGGGTGGCGGAGTCCGCTTTAGCTGACCACTGCTGCCCGGCGGCGGGCTGAAACTCAGCTCTTCGTAGAGGTTTTCTGTCTCCGGCGTCGGGCCTACGGCGCCACAACATTCCACCGGGGCACGGTTGTATTTTTGGCGCGTCTTGACGGAACTCGCGGTTGCGTGTTTGGCTATTAACCCTTTCCCGTTCCGAGACGTCTGCAAGTTGCAGGGTGGGTCCCTGTTCGCCACTGAATTTCGGAACGCGCAAGCGGTTGAGCGTTAGTTGTATTTAGAGAAGCGTAGCGCCGTTGTTTTTGAAGACATTGTACTCACTGCACAGAACTCTAAAGACACGGCCGCACTCTATGACCGCTGGTGCCAAACGGTGCCGCACACCCTCCCGCATGGCCTTGTGGGAGCCTCAGTATCCCAAAGAAGTTATTTTAATTTAGTTTTTCTTCCGATTCCATTCCGATGACGTACGCATACATCATCGGAACCAAAAAGGGTTAACCGTGCGCCGAGCCAGGGCTGCGGGTCTCCAGAAAAGCAAAGTGAAATCTCAAGCACGCAAAAAACACAAAGACAAAGATCCCCCATATAGCCTTTAATGGACTGTTGGGGCAAATGCTGTTAGCGAGTAGCACGGATGAAGTCTGGCATGGTGCGTGGCCAGCACCACCTTCTTTGTCTCCCCAGTGGCGATGTTTTACACACTGCTTCAGGTACTCATTTGAAGCCGAGTCGACCTAGAGGTGGCCCAGGACCAGTTCAAACAATCTTCACTGGTGTTGGCCATCAACGTGAATCGAACTCGGTTCGCCAAGTTCGTAGCGCAGTGTTCTCACCACTGTACCACCGCTCCCCACGCAGAAACACACACGTGCGCATGCACATATAAACTACAAGTTCTCCCTCGTGCTGCCTAATAGACTGCTGGGGTAAACGTTGTTAGCGAGCACTTTTTAAAGGTCCACATAGTGGTATGGCTAGAACCGAGGTACTTATTCATGGCTGCGATGAGCTTGGAGAGGCCCAGCACTGGTCCAGACATTCGCCACTGATGCTAGCCGTGGCAAGGAATTGGACTCGGGCCACTGGATTGGTAGTGTAGCGTGTGATCATTGCATCACTTCTCTGCTTACGCTCACACACACACACATGGATCTCCCCTGGGTCTTGGTGGAGATCCACACTTCTCACGAACACCTCCCAATTGAAACAGACCCACGGTGATACGTGTAGTCCCTTGCCGGCTCGTGGCTCGAACTTTAGGAGGCTATAAATGCCACCTCAGTTCTCAGCTGACAATAAATGCAGGTGGATTCATTGGGATGCGTCGGCAGTGGCTTCCCCGGAGAACCGGTCTGGTGGAGCCCAGCACTAGTGCCGCATCATCACAATAATAATACATTCATATTTTATTAATGAAATTTATCATCATCATCACGCGCCACCTTCCTTAAATCCACCTGCACAATTTATCAGCCGAGCCACTACTGGTGCTCAGCAGGCCTGACTCCGTGCCACTCACCTTGAGTCCAGCTTTTGATGGCCTCATAATCGTGGTCGTCTTTGGGAGGGAGGTCATAGATGAGGTCACCGGGAGGTGGGACGTCATAGATGGTGTCACCAGGGGTAAGATCATAGATGTGGTCCATGGTCCGCAGGTCGGTGGTGGTGCCGGGTCTGCACCAACAAACAAGTGCGCACGGTTAACCTGGCAGGTTCAGCATAGGGGCACCATAGTGGCAAGATGTTAACTGTCTCACCTGGTATACAGGAGGTTGTGGGTTCGACGCCGACGCCTAAATATTTGGAGTTTGTATGTCTCTCTCCCCGTGATCGCGTGGATTTTTCCCCGGTTCCTCCAATTTTTTTCTCTCCACATTTATAAGCATGCGTGTAGAGTATTTGGATGCTATTAATTTACACACGATAAGCCACTTCGTTGAGCGATCATTTGTGGCCAGGTCGCTACTGAAAAAGAACTATACAGCTCAGTGGGCCAAGTCTTCGGAGGTGGTGGGGGTGATGCTGCTGTGTGTAGTCCCAATTGAGTGATTGGCAGTGTAATTGTTCAGGATTGGGATGTTGTGGCCAATACCAGTGTATTTAGCGGTGCAAGAAAACGGCAGAACCTGGAGGAAACCCATAAAGAACAGAGGGAGAACGTACAAACTCCACGTGCATAGGCTCCTTGAAAAAACACACTCGTAAAATTGGAATTGACCAAACGTATTAATGCAGGAACCTCCTGAACAAGCGTCTTGAGCCTCAGTGAGGCTTTCCAGGATGAACAAATGCCACCATCATTATCGTCGTCAATATGATGAGCAATATTCCTCAGGAGTGAATCGCACGACATTCTGCTGGACACCCTCATCACCACGACATGGCCATTAGCGGTGGGGAAGGGGGGTGTGCTCGTCTGTGCTCCTGGGAGGCAGGAGTTGGTGGATCCGTCGGAGATTCATGAAACTCTCAAACCCCGGCGGAGAGATCTCCCTCGCTTAACCTAATAGACCGTTGGTGCCAATGCTGTTAGGGAGAACATTAAAGAGTCAACATCGCAGTGTGGCCAGCACCATACCTGGCGGCCACTGTTGTCTTCACAAGTACCGATATTTACGCACGACAGCGGGTACTCATTGAGGCCGAGTTGACCAAGAGGAGGCTGTGCTGTGACCTCAAGCTGTGCTGTGGCCAGGGGATGGCAGTCACAGCTGTTAGGATCGTGAGCCCATCTGTGCAGAGCCTTGAGTGTGGGCGGTGAGGGGGGGACGTTGGGGTTTCGCCAGGTTATCCGGTTTCCTCCCACAAGCCAAACGCTCATGAACGTAACTGGCCGAACATCCCAATGCGAGGCAGGGTCCTCTTGCTCGGGAGCCTTGGGAGTCGGCGTGTGACGATTCCACAACCATTAAAATGACCACGCGCGCTTTAAAAACCGGCAGCAAACATCACCGGCGCTGGATCGAATATCTGAGCCTCACGGCACGAGTCACTCAGCCTCACCACTCTGGGTACAAGAGCACGGCACGCGCCTGCCTGCCTGCCTGCGTGCTTCAGATCCACTTAGACAGCGGAACAAACACCTGCGGCACGTCAAACGCCATGTCATCCAAACGCAGGCACCATGACGGGCAGATGGGGGGACGGAGGAGGCGGAGAGGGGGGTGAGGAGGAGGATGAGGAGGGGAGATAGCAGCAGGGGGTGAATGGAGACACAAGCAGTAGAGGGGGAAAGAGGAGGATTGGGAGAGGGAGACACGAGGAGGAGTGGAGGGGCCGGAAGGAACACAATGGCACAGAGAATTAGAGCCTTGGACAGTCACAGAGACAGTTTGTGTCAGCTGGCAGTGACGGTGCAGTCCAGGCAGGCGAAGGAGGCTGTGTCATCGTAAGCTCGACGAGGCTCTCCGCTGCGTCATCAAACATAACCCCAAGCAGGGGAGGCGCTGCCGCCCAAAACAAACAACCACGTGGATGAGCAAGAGGGGTGGTGGAGCGGGGTGGGTGGGGGTCAATGAGGAATATCACAAAGCTCCCAATTCCTCACGGGACCCGCGACTTAACATCTCTCGCGGTTTACCATTCACTTCCGCCCCCAAACAAACACAAAAGGGGGTCGTGGGAACACGCTGCACACACGCCCCAGATGATCGCCAAACACGTGGCAAGCGACGTTGGCGAAGCGCGAATTACCGCGATTCGGCGCGCTCTGCCACTCCACGTGCGACGTGCCTTAACAATCATCAGACGCGTGCAGCGTGTAAAACGACTCGAGTTGTATTGGGGAAGCGGCTACGTTGGTAAGCTCGGAACGATGGCAGCTTGGGCGGCCGGTGGCTGCAGCAGGATGAATGGGGCGGGGGGGGAGATGTTAACTACCTCTCCGTATCCTCCGGTTCTCCCCTCCGCATTTAGAAACGTGCGTTTGGAGTATTCGGCTGCTATAAATTTCCACACGATGAGCCACTTCGTTGAACTATCATCACTTGTGGCCAGGTTGCATCTGAAACATAGCTATAGAGCTCAGGTCGGGCCTCACCTGGTCAAATAAAAACAATAATTTAAGGTTTCGTTTAGAATGGGCCGAGTGGTGATCGTTATCGGCGACGTCCGTCGTTCGACTTTGAACTCAACACGTCCTGGCGAGCGAGCGAGCACACGATGCCAATAGCCAGGCCACCGCGTACGCCTTGGCCCCCATACGAGCACCTCGACAACAACAACAACAATGATCACGGTGTATTCTACACATCCCGTCAAACCACACGCGCCTTGTGGGCAAGGGCATCATCTGAGCAACTTTGGCTCAGCGCAAGCAAAATAATATAATACGGCGCATCGATTTTTTTTGTGCTTAGCATTGCAAAGTTGCAGGCGCAAATTCAACCAAACTCGGCAACCACCGAGACGTGTCCTGCGAATATCGATATCAGGCTCGGAATTAATTCCAATCAGGGTGCGCACACCCAAGTGAACTGATTAACAGTTCATATACAACCATGCGACGCATCTCATGTTCCCCGGCGAGCCACCTAGCCAGTGTGTGTGTGTGTGTGCAGGCGTGTGAGCGTTCGAAGGTGTGTGTGTGTGTGTGTGGGGGGAGTAGAGGTGTCGCGGTTAGTGCGCTGCACTACGAACCTGGCGACCCGGGTTCGATTCCCACTCACGGTCAACACCAATGACGATTATCTGAACCGCTCCTGGGCCTCCCCTAGGTCGACTCGGCCTCAAATGAGTACCTGGTGCAATGTGTAAACATCGCCATGAGGGAGGCAAAGGCGGCCGGGCGTGGTGCTGGCCACCCACCCCCTCGTGTGCCGCGCCAGCCTTCATAGGTGCTCCTTGCTCACAGCACTTTCCCCAAACGTTTGTTGAGGCTATACGTGGGAACACTGTCTTTGTGTGTGCGAGCGAGCCGAGAGTCGTGACCGTAGGAAATTGTGACGAAATAATTCGACGCGGCGCCTTTATTTATTAATTTAGTCGACGAAAACCGTGAGTGGGCGAAGCCACCGAGCGTGACGATGGCTGCTCTGCTGGCATGCTGCCCGCAAAGAGGTCAAAAGGTGACCGGGACCGTGCCACACGAGGTTGGCTTGGATGAAGACGCACAGAGATACGTCACCACAGAGATACGTCACCATACCGTTACCAGAGGCCGCATTGCGCCGAGCAAGACACAACAATGGTAGTTACCCATCATATGAATAATTTAACTTATGTATCCAGGAGAGCCACGCCGAGATGCAGGATTCCTGCTTCAGGAGGGTCGTGGTCACATTCGTTTAGTTGTTGTTACTTCAGGATGTTTACAGCCAATTAATAAGACTACACGTGGGAGGAAACCGGAGACACAGCGGAGAAAACCCACGCGCGTCGTGCGAGGGGGCGACGCTCTATCCCCGTACGGATGGAAACAGATGGAGATGAGTTCACTTGCTGTACCGCCATCTCCTGGCGTGCCACGGTATGTGGCACCTGCTGGGCGCCCACGGGCATGGAGTTCCACAGCACTTGTGTGCGGTGAGTCACCAACCCTCTCGCCGCTGCCTCCACAGTACTGGATTACAGGCCAAGTGCGATACCTCCACCACCCGACTATATATACATACATACACTGTGTATGTATACATACACACGGGTGTGTGTACAGGGGCGGAGCCACAGGGGGGGGGCTGGGGGGGGCTTAGCCCCCCCTGAAATTTTGGGAAGGTCGGTAATTGGGATAACCGGATATCCGGCTACCACCTTGTGCTGCCCTGCAGGCTGCTTGAGCGGCAGCCTTTCGAACTTATTAGCCACATCAGCGGCTCCGACCTATTAATAAACTCCGCGTTCAAATCCAATAAAATTTGTTTTATACATTTGTGGCGCCCATTGGAAAACAACGCACTGGACATCTCAGAATATTGAAGTCAGCCCCCCCCAAAGTCAAAATCCTGGCTCCGCCCCTGTGTGTGTATATGAATTCACTGATTGACGTGATAATAATATTGGAGCGTGGTGGAGGTAGCGGGGAAATTGCGGATAATGAATATTCTGGATAATTGAAGTGGTGAGGGCATGCGTGTGTAGGTGCGCGTGTGTAGGCGCGTGTACGGGCGTGGTGCTGGCCACCCACCCCCTCGTGTGCCGTGCCGGCCTTCATAGGGTCCTCGCTAACAGCACTTGCCCCTACAGTCTGTTAAGACTACACGGGGGATCTTTGTGTGTGTCTACGCGTGTGTGTGTGCGAAGATGGGTAGGTGTTCAGGTTGATGAAGTTCAAATTGATTTTGTTTGACCGGTTGATAACTCGGAGCCCAAGGTAGGAGTCTCATTTGCAAGAGTAACCTGGGTCACCCAAATTAAGGAAAGCTAAATAAATAATATAAAGTACAGACAGTCATTTCATTTAGTAGTATGGAAGCGAGGGGTGAACGAGTGAGCAAAGTATGAGTGTGTGTATGCGAGTATGAGTGTGCGTGGAAGTGAGTATGTGTATGTGAGCAAGCATATGTGTATGTATGTATGGGAACAAGTGTGTATGTGAACGAGTGTGTATGCGAGAGAGTGTGTTTGTGTAAATGAGTGTGTGTATGTGAGCGGGTGTGTATGTGACCGAGTGTGTATGTAAGCGAGTGTGTGTATGTGAGAGAGTGTGTATGTGAACGAGTGAATATGTGAGCGAGTCTGTATGTATGTGAGTCAGTGTGTATGTATGTGAGCGAGTATGTATGAATGTGAGCGAGTGTGTATGTAAGCGAGTATGTGTGTATGTATGTGAGCAAGTATGTGTGTGTATGTGAGCGTGTGTGTATGTGAGAGTGTGTATGTGAACGAGTGTATCTGTGAGCGAGTCTGTATGTATGTATGTCAGTGTATGTATGTGAGCGTGTGTGTATGTGAGCAAGTGTGTGTGTATGTATGTGAGCAAGTATGTGTGTGTATGTGAGCGTGTGTGTATGTGAGCGAGTGTATATGTGAATGAGGGGCTGTGTGACCTTGCTCCACTGTACCTCACTCACCAGGCCTTGTACCTGCTGGGTTTTTCAACAGAGCGAAGGTCCCTCTCTCTCTCTCCCACACACACACGCGCGGCGTGCACTCACGCACGTCTGGAGCAGCAGCGTTCGGCACGAGAGCGGTCCCCTTAGTCAACACGCCCCAGAGCCGTTTGGCCACCCGACTTGCCGCATTACAACAAACAGCCACATCCCTTCTACAGCAGCAGCCAGCAGCCGCCTCGAGTGCCGATCCCTGTGGGGCCTCTCCGCCTCGCCCTGGCTACAGCCCTAGCGACGCGACCAGAGCGGCAGGCGGGCGGGCGGGGGAGAGAAGGTCAGGCACGTGAGAGATGATGATGATGGTGGTGGTGGTGCGCCGCGAACACGGGGAAACGCCCGCTTGCAATTTTAGCGGATGATTTAAACGGCAAGTTAATCATTATCAAGACCGTGGGTGAGCTTTGCGCCGGAACAACATGAAACTTGAAAACTTGAGCAAGCGTGAGTGTGTAACGCCGACTCCACGCAGTGGAAACATTGTGCTGTGAGATCGCCGCACCTCCGATTAGCAAGCGCGGTTGGCCACGTGTGGTCCGAAAGAAAGTTCAACGTACACACGCACTACACATGTGTGCACACTTGCACGCGTGCACGCGCGATCCCAACAGAGACACCCCACCGCTCGTGGTGGCTGCTGGCTGGACGGTGACGGCGTCGTCGCTGCGAGGGGGACACGGTGTGGATAATCCTTCTCACCTCCTCTCTCGCCTGTGCTCAGTGGCACCGCCACCGAGCCCCCCGTGGCTCAAGTCAAGCACCCACACCCACGCATCCCAGCGGCCGCATTGGTCAGCAGGGGGCTCTATCCGAGTGACCCCCACCACCACCGCCGCGTCTCCAGTTCCATCTCCCCTCCCTCGCTCACTCGCCACTGCCAGCGCTTGGGCGTAACTGTCAACAAGTGTGGCAATGGGTGCCCATAGTTTATATGCAAGGGCCATTGCCCGAAACGTCGCCTATCATATTGTTATTCCTTGCGAGGCAGTAACAGCCTAGGTGACTGTGTCCCTTATGTAACGAGTGGGGGGGGGGTGAAGTTAAATGCAACAGGAAACACACCGCCTGCTATTGCTGCTGCTGCTGCAGTATCGCTGATTCACGTTTATTGTACCCGCTACACGCACGGCCAGTCGGAAGGGAGCGATAAGCGCGCTTCCCACCTCGCAGCTGTTTCTCTGAAACTACAAACCACACAACGCTCCCTCCCCAGATCCCTTTTGATACGAGCCGTCCCTTTCGATAAAGTACAAGTCACAGACTTGTGTGTTGTATACGTGTCATTACGCGTTTGCCAGGCGTGTGACAATTAACGCCCTGGACACCACTGCAAAGCAGATGCTCGATCCCAAGAGATTTCCATGCAGAATATTTGAATAATTCCAAAACAAACACAGACTTCAAAATACACCCACATAATGACTGCAACAGGCTGAGAATGCGTGGTCACCACATCTACGCCTCTGTATAAGGAACGAAACAGTTAGACTTCGTCACAAATCTGTCTGTCGCCTGATGAAGCTAGTTGTAATTACTGGCGAAACGTCGTACTCGGATTGTAAATGTTGTGGCTTGGCTCTCCAACACACCGGTGTGCTGTACTAGTGACGAATTGGCCACGTTCTGTTTACGCGACAACCCTTACTGGTTGGCTGTCGAGTGGTGGCGGGTTTTAACGACACATTTACATATTTACGGGATTCCAATCCAAAAAAACCTCTATTAAGGCTGAGAATCTTCTTTGGTTCTTTCGGTAAAGTCACGTAGAATGAGAATAAAATAATAAAATAAAACAATAAAATTATCACGACGTTTCGGCCATATAACGACTTATTGTTGGTAGCTCAGCTGATTGGAGAATATATAGAGTTTATTGATAACATTGAGGTAGTTGAAATTTTAGTGTTTTATCTGTTTACTATATGGTATTCATTATATAGTGTAGTGTATACCCAGTTGCTATTAATAGCTCTGCTTGTTGAAGAATATATTGAGTACATTTATTATATTGGTGTAATTTAGACTTAGGTTTTTTTCACATCGGTTTACTGTATGATAGTTGAGTTGTTGCAGCCCCTTTGGCGTCCATGCACTAGGTGCCTCTGTGGATGTGTAGGCTTTGACTTTAACATAGCTATATTCTTAGCTCTTTCGGTAAAGTCACGTTGAAGGGAAACAATAAAATAATAAAATATATATAAAACAATAAAAAATTCTCACGACGTTTCGACCATAACACAAACGGTCGTCATCAGGTGTGTCGGTTCGCATTAATTAATTTATTTTTAAACGGTGCATTTATTTATTTATAAAAAACGTCAGCGTCACGCGCAGCGATTTGGCAGTTTATTTAGAAGGACTAGTCCATCTATATTCTTAGTTTTTTTCGGTTAAGTCACGTTGAAGGGAAACAACAAAATAATAAAATATATAAAACAATAACAAATTCTCACGACGTTTCGACCATAACTCAAACGGTCGTCTTCAGGTGTGTTGGTTTGCATAAATTTATTTAAAAATGGCGCATTTATTTATTTATATTTAAAAAACGTTAGCGCCACACGCAACGATTTGGCAGTTTATTTAGGACTAGTCCATCTATATTCTGAAAAGAGGAGGGGGGAGACGAAATTTTATAATGTATGCTGTCTGAAAGCCACTGTAAGCTTGAACAATCAATTAAGACCTGAAATGGTTTATCAAATCTTTCCAATGATTGCTAAGATAGAATCCATCTTCTCGGTTGAAATTGTCTCTGTGCTTGTATATGTGGATAGCCTCATGAACGAATCTCTCATGGAAGCCAGATGGCTTACAAAGAACCTCTGTCTTGGAAAAGTCAATGGCATGTGAGCCTACTGAATTAGAACAATGATCTGCCACGGCCGAGGTGTTGGTCCTACCGTGTTTAAGGTCTGCTTTGTGTTCACGAATGCGCTCCGAGACATGGCGTTTGGTTTCTCCAATGTAACTACTACCACAGAGGCAACTTAGTTTGTAGACACCAGGGTATTGTATGTCCGGAATCACATCTTTTACAGACGGAACCAGATCACGGATTTTATGTAATGTGTTGAAACGGACCTGGATCTTGTGTTTATTCAAGATTTTGGAGATCTTTTTTGTGATCCCCGCAATGTAGGGTAAAGTGATGGTTTTGAAAGGCTCCTCAAGAGGGTTCTTCTTCATGGTTTGAGTGATAGCTTTGCGGATTGTATAGTCGGAGTAACCATTAGCCCTAAGAGCTTGGTGTACATGCTTGAGTTCACTGCTTATGTGTTCCTGGTCGGATATGCATTGGGCTCTATGGTACAGAGTCTTGATGAGATAATTCTTCTGTGATGGATGGTGGTGGGAATCCGGTTTCAGATAAGCATCCGTATGGGTAGCTTTCCTGTAGACAGAGTGGCTCATTGAACCATCAGGTCTCTTTTTAATTAGGACATCCAAAAAAAGGTATCTTGCCATCTATTTCGACTTCCATGGTAAATCTGATGGCTGGGTGTATGGAATTGATGTGGTCGAAGAATTGGTCTAGAGCAGGCCGGCCATGTGGCCAGATGACAAAAGTGTCATCCACGTACCTCTTCCACAAGGTTGGGCGCAGAGTGGCAGTCTGGATGGCGTCAGTCTCAAATTTCTCCATGAAAATGTTAGCTATAACCGGAGATAGGGAGGAGCCCATTGGGGTGCCCTCAGTTTGTTTGTAGAAAGTTCCATTCCAAGTGAAGTATGTATTGGTTAAACAGTGTCTAACCAGGAGGGGTACCTCAGTGTTTAGCCCTTGATGAACCAAGTCTTCAATGATTGCGATGGTGTCAGGTACAGGAACCTTGGTGAATAAGGAAACTACATCAAAACTGACAAGCAGGTCGTCTGGGGACAGGGAAATACCCTTGATTGTCGATACCAGTTGAGTAGAATTTTGTACCGCAGAGGTGGTTTTTCCAGTGAAAGGACGCATTTACACTGACCTCTGCTGCTGTAACTTCTTCTAATGCGAAACGAATTCTTTTCAAAACTAGCTTAGCTCTTATCTCAGAAAAAATCAGACTTATACGCACCGAACTAGATCAGTTAGACAAGACACTCTACAAATCACACTTATCATTGACGGCAACAATGTCCACATCGGATTGGGAACATGTAGACAATATGACTGCCTCTTCAGCTGCTACTATGTCGACCAAATGTAAGGACAACCTGATTTCCAAATTTAACCTCCTCTTCAACAAAAGACCGGACCCACACACCAAAAAGTTAGATGTTGACAAAGTCGTAATTAATCGCAGTAACAGTTCTATTTTCGATGGTCTGAAATCCGTTTTAGCTAAAGGTCTAAACTTTGCAGTCACACCTAAACACATACCAGTTAATGATATAATTGCCCAAGTAGACGTTGCTCTCAGGGGCCTGGGTCACATCGCTGCAGACGTAGCAAGATCAGAAATCGCTGCAACCCTCAAAAACGCTAAGATGCCAGCTAGCAACCTCAGCAAAGATGAGCGTTTTGAATTATATAAATAAAAAAGAGGGATGACATTGTAGTCCTCTCAGCTGACAAGGGCAATGCTACTGTCATCATGGATAAAATAGAATACAACAACAAAATTAAAGAATTACTTGACGATGGTAGTTATACAAAAATAAAAAGAGATCCCACCAACAGCCTCGTCACACAAACCAACAAAATAATTTCTGATTCAACCGCATTAATTGATCAATCTAAACAGTTTTCGTTGAAACCTTCTGCTGCCAGGCCACCAAGATTATACGGCTTACCAAAAATACATAAAGTAGATACACCCCTTCGTCCCATCGTCTCTACTATCAACTCCCCCACCTACAAACTGGCTCGTTTTTTGTTTGAAATCCTGCGTCCTTTCACTGGAAAAACCACCTCTGCGGTACAAAATTCTACTCACCTGGTATCGACAATCAAGGGTATTTCCCTGTCCCCAGACGACCTGCTTGTCAGTTTTGATGTAGTTTCCTTATTCACCAAGGTCCCTGTACCTGACACTATCGCAATCATTGAAGACTTGGTTCATCAAGGACTAAACACTGAGGTACCCCCCCTGGTGAGACACTGTTTAACCAATACATACTTCACTTGTAATGGAACTTTCTACAAACAAACTGAGGGCACCCCAATGGGCTCCCCCCTATCTCCGGTTATAGCTAACATTTTCATGGAGAAATTTGAGACTGACTCCATCCAGACTGCCACT